GCAGAGGACTGGCATGAGGGGAATCCTACTTCTCCCCTGGCAAGTTACTGGAACTTCTTGACCTCCTTAAATCAACTAATCTGCCCGCCTGACCTCGCTGGCCTAGTGCTTCGAGGCCGCTTCCTTCCTAGACCCTTTACTGCCGATGTCTGTGCTTGGCTTTTTAAGCTGACAGGGCCTACTGTGCTCTTTCAGGAGTGTAGAGACTGGAAGCTTGGATTTAGAGCAAGAGGTTGACCCGCTCAACGTGGATCATTTCTCTTGTACTCCTCTGGTGAGGCTGCCCGTGTCCCATGAGGCCACGGGGACATGGGCGTGGAGCGTAGGGAAGGTCCTTGAGGGCTGAAGGGAGTCAGGCAGGACAGGCTTGGAGGGAGAGCCTGGCCTCACTTCCGCCTCCCCCTCAGATGTGGGCTTGTGCCCTGGGACACCTGGAAGCTGCTGTGCTCCTTTTTCGGTGGAATCAACAGGCACTGAGCATACCCGACTCTCTGGGCCGTCTGCCCCTGTCTGTTGCTCACTCCCGGGGTCATGTGCGCCTTGCCCGCTGCCTGGAGGAACTGCAGAGACAGGAGTCGTCAGTTGAGCCCCCACTCGTCCTGTCACCCCCGTCTTCTAGCCCAGACACCGGTGAGCACGGCTCCTGAGCGTTCTGATTCTTTTTTTTCTTTTGGTATGGGGATAGAGCTCACGACCCTGCACTTGCAAGGCAGGTGCTTATGCCACTGAGCTAAATCCCCAGCGGCTTCTGAGCTTTCTGAGAGGGATGTCAATAGGATAAGCCACAGCAAAGCCCAAGGGCAGGAGGTAGAAAGTGGAAGAGGAGGAGGCAAGGATGGGCGATAACGGGAGCCTAGGAGAGAAGCCAGGGAGACGGAGCGCAAGGCCCAGGGTGGGAGACTCCAGGGTGGGCTGCGGCTTCCCTGCCTCACCCACTTCGTTGCCTTACAGGTCTAAGCAGTGTCTCTTCACCTTCGGAGATGTCAGATGCCACTTTCTCTGTTACATCAGCCTACTCTAGTGCTCTGGATGGCAGTCCTCCTCCTGGTCCTCTGCCAGCCTCTGAGATTACTATGGAGGAGATGGTCCCAGGCCAGCTCTCCTCGGGCCTACCAGAGGCCCCCTTGCTCCTCATGGACTTTGAAGCCACCAACCCCAAAGGGTCCCCACCCTCTCCTCCTGCTCTCCCACCAGCCCCAGATGATGGGACTGCTCCAGAGGACACCGACACCCCACAGACTGTAGATGTGATCCCGGTACTGTTTATGCTGTAGAATCAGGGTTAGGGTTAGATTGGGTAGAAGCACAGTGAGGCTACTATTCTATGACAGAATTAGAGATGGGCTTCACTTCAGGGAAAAAGACATTCACACCCATTTTGGGACAGGCACGGTAACCCTTTGCATAGCTCCTTTTAGAGTTTGTGAGTCAGTGGTCATAATGTGGAATGCAGGAATTCTGAAAAGTATCTTTGCTTAGAACTTGGCTTTGCTACCTGTTGATCTATAGAGGCAGGGTTCCTAGGGAACCAGGTGGCACTGGGTAGCTGCGAAGTGTGTGGGTGGCCAGGTAGAGATATCTGGGAGTGATGTGAGCTGGGAGAGTCTCGCACACGGGAAAAGCTAAGAAACCAGAAGTTTTATGGAGTGAATGGGAAAAAGAAGGAATGAACTTTCAAGTTTAACTATTACTTATGTCCCACAACTTGGGGACCATCTGCTTTAGAAAGGCTAAAGAGTAAATTAGGTAGTAGTCTGAGAAACTTAAGGGAACTCCACAAAGAAGGCCACATGAAGTATAGAAGCAGGAAATACTATAGACTTCAGGGCCGGACCAAAGGACCAGCTAGAACAATTCATTAGGATGTCATGTGGCCAATAAGAACCAAGCTGCAGGGGCTGGGGATTTAGCTCAGCGGCATAAGCACCTGCCTTGCAAGCAGGCGGTTGTGAGTTCAATCCCTGGTACCGATAAAAATGAAAAAGGAAAAAAAAGAACCAAGCTGGGTCCTGGAGGGCTGAAGGGGCTGGGGTCCTGACTAAGCTATGCTGGTTGGCAGCATGGGTCAGGCCCAGGTGGGACGTGTGGCATTCAGCCTGGAAGGGTGGCAAATCCGTCATTAGCTGCCCTCCTGAATCCCCACTTGGAGGATCCTGTGTTCTCCATATCTCAGCACAGAGGGCTGCCCACCACCACCCTCCACTGGGAGCTGGCAAGAATAAACAAATCAGGAGCAGTGAACTAGCAGAACAGCCCTGAGGCTTCAGTGTCTGGTAGGAGAGTAGTAGAGAGTAAGGTTATAGCTTCGGCAGGGCAGACACGCTCGGCAGTGGGCCCCACAGGGCTTACACAGTGCTCCCTTCATCCAGGTGGACATGATCTCCCTGGCTAAGCAGATCATTGAAGCCACTCCAGAGCGGATTAAACAAGAGGACTTCGTGGGGCTGCCTGAGGCTGGAGCCTCGATGCGGGAGCGGACTGGGGCTGTGGGGCTCAGTGAGACCATGTCCTGGCTGGCCAGCTACCTGGAGAACGTGGACCATTTTCCTAGCTCCGCCCCTTCCAGGTGACCAGCTTAGGACAAAACCACTAGATTCTTCAAAGGGAAATGAGAGGACACAGGCTTCCCCCCAGCCAAAGTGCCACTCCAGCAGTGTTCTGAGAAGGGAACTGGACTGGCCCATGAACTCTGAAGCTACTCTTCTAGACCCTTGCTGGGGGCCTTCACTCAGCCACCTGCAGGTGGGACACAAGGGACTTCAGATGTCCTATAACATCCATTCTGTCTCCCACAGTGAACTGCCCTTCGAGCGAGGTCACCTGGCTGTCCCTCCAACGCCTTCCTGGGCGGAGTTTCTCTCTGCATCCACCAGTGGCAAGATGGAAAGTGACTTTGCTCTGCTGACACTGTCAGATCATGAACAGCGGGAGCTGTATGAGGCAGCCCGAGTCATCCAGACAGCCTTCCGAAAGTACAAGGTTAGGGGGCTGTGGGTGGCAGGGGAGACATCCAGACAGACCTCAGCCTGGAGGAAAAAGGAAAACAGAAGGTCCATAATCCTCATGGGCCATGAGATGCCGAGACTTTTTCTCCCCTCAGGGCCGGCGGCTGAAGGAGCAGCAGGAAGTAGCAGCAGCTGTGATCCAGCGCTGTTACCGCAAGTACAAGCAGGTGAGTCTTCTCTCAAAAGCATGCAACAGCCTGCTGTGGTGACAAAGCGGGCCTGTAACCCCAGCACTCAGGAGGCTAAGGCAGGAGGATCCATGCAGGTTCGAGACCAGCCTGGGCTACAAAGTGAGTCCAAGGCCAGCCTGAACTGCATGGTTAGACGGTGTCTCAAAAAGATGAAGGGAAAGAAAACCCAACCCCACACACTCACTGTAACTCAGAGCACCCAGACTGCTGCTAGAGCCCTAACGCCCCTTCTCTCTCCACAAGCTGACCTGGATTGCACTTAAGGTACCAGGCATGAGATCTGGGTGTGAGTTGTCTGTGCGGACTTAGCCTTTCCATGAGTGTGGGTTAGAGAGAGACCTGCATCAGTCTGCCTTGGGGTGACCCTCAGGGGCCTGGGTCTCCTTCCCTCCATTTCAGCCCTGCCCCTCTCCCCATGCCTGCAGTTTGCACTCTATAAAAAGATGACCCAGGCGGCCATCCTGATCCAGAGCAAGTTCCGCAGCTACTACGAGCAGAAGCGGTTTCAGCAGAGCCGCCGCGCTGCGGTGCTCATCCAGCAGCGCTACCGCTCCTACCGCCGCCGCCCGGGGCCTCCCCACCGGCCCTCAGGGCCCCTGCCCGCGCGCAACAAGTATGGCCAGGCTCCCCGCCCTCCGCCGGTCCTCCGAGGCCGCGCTCACCCTCCCCCTGCCCTCGCTTTCGGCCCTGCGGGGCTCCCAGGGGCTGGGGATATGGGGCTTTTGGGGTTCTGTGAGGTCTCCCTGTATCTTCCCTCCCAGAGGCTCCTTCCTCACTAAGAAGCAGGACCAGGCAGCCCGGAAGATCATGAGATTCCTGCGGCGCTGCCGACACAGGTACCCGCGCGCCCCTCCCCTGCTGGTTCCGCCTGGCCGCCGCTCCCGCCTGACTCCTGCCTCGTCTCGCTGTAGGATGAGGGAACTGAAGCAGAACCAGGAGCTGGAAGGGCTCCCTCCGCCGGGACTGGCCACCTGATCCGCCTGCCACGTTCCTCACCACCGCTGGACCCTCCTCGCAGTCTTAACAGGGAGAGCAGAGCGAGATCTGGGGCAGGGGAGCCCTGCGGGCAGCCTCCCGCACCCCCCTGTAGGGGCCACAGTGCCACCCCAGTCCGGCTCCTGCACCCCTCGCCTCCCGGTTCTGCTCTGTCGACCCCAGGCGCCAGAGGACCCACGCCCCACACACCTGCATCTCCAGCTGTGACCCAGGAGCCCCGCCTGCCCCTTCTCCTCGCCCTCCCTGCCTGCACCCGACTCTCCCCTTCCTGACTTGCCTTATTTATTTGTTCGACGCGTCTCTGAATGTATCCGCCTCGGTCCCCACCTCTGCCTTCGCCGCGCGCCCTCATGTTTTGGGGCTGACCTGCCCCACCCTGACTCCGCATGTTTGGGTGTCCCCGTCCCCGGCCCTGTCTCTCCCGGTCACCCCGACTCTGGCCACCCAGCGCGGGCCAAAGGGAGAGGGTGTGCACAGGACCGCGTCGCGGAGTCCCGCCCCGTCCCCGAGGGCAGGGGGCTTGTACATACTGTAACATACAGAGTATAGTGAAGAATCTATTTAAGGCGCCGCGGGAAGGGCTGCGCGGACACACGTGTGGTTCCCCGGCGCGGCGGGGCCTCCTGCCGGCTCCACGAGCACTTTCTACTTGTGCATGGGCTTGGTTTATACAAATTGCCATTAAACATCGCTGCACCAGCCAGCCTCCGGCCTCTGTCTGCGGGGGGCGGGGCGGGCTCGCTGGCGTGGGGGAGGGGAGACGGGCCGCGCGCCGCTGGCCTTGGACCCGCGCCCAAGCAGGCGGGAGCGCGGTTTTCCGCCGCCGACGTGTTTCCGGCCTTAAAGGCATTCCGCCCTCCCCTTTAAAACGCACCGCCCCCTCTCAGTCACTCCCAAGATGGCGGACCTACTGGGCTCCATCCTGAGCTCCATGGAGAAGCCACCCAGCTTCGGTGACCAGGAGACTCGGCGCAAGGCCCGAGGTGAGGATCCCAAATTCACAACCGCCTTTCTCCGCCTGGTTCTTAGGTTCGCACTCTCCCCTCTGTAGACGGTGCCGCCTCTTCTACTTTAAAAAGACCCCTCGCAGGCCCCTTTTGAGACCCTCACAGTCCCTAATAAGGATAACTGGCCCGCCTGCCGTTCTTAGCGGACGATGATTGGCTGCTTGAAGCCTAGCTCCAACCTCCTGCATCTTCTCCCCTACCCTGGCCTTGCGCAGTCCTTGTTTCCAATTAGTCGACGGGCCCGCCAATCAGCTATGGCGAGCTCTGATTAGGGGGCCGGCCTCGGTCCCGCCCCACCATGCCTCCTTCCGATTGGAGAATGGCGTAAGCTTCCATCTCGGCCTTCTCGCCACCTCCAGCTCAGTTCCGATTGGGTTCAGGGCACGCTCATCCACAGTTCTTTCACCACTATTAGCTATCTCAAAGTTCTACCTTCTAAATGTTGGTAGACCTTCCTCCTGAGCCACCGCACTTCCCATTGGTTGCTGGATCTTCCGTGTCCGTAAAAGCCCCTCCCTCTCTCAACCCTGTGCCGCCGCCTTCTCTCCAATAATCCTTTTCCTATCTGTACAGTTAAATTCCTGAGTTTCCCGGTCGGGTCGTGATGTTGATTGGAGAGATAAGAATGCTCCGCCGGTCCGATTGGCCACAGTTTGCTAGCAGTCTCCCAGCAGGCGGGCTCGAATTCGGAGGCCCGCGTAGGGTGCGGCCCTGCGGACCGTGGAGGCCTCTCCAAAGTGCTCAAGAGCTGATGAAGATCTAAATAACGTCCCTTATTTGCTGAGCGCCTACTCGGAGACAGGGTACTCTTCAAGAAGGCCACAGTGTTAAGTCTGAGGCGCTCGCTAAAGAAATAATCATAGTTTAGTAAATTGTGTGAGAGGGAAGACCAATGTATTAGAGGCAAAAGTATATTTGCAAATTCGGAGAAGGAGGGGTCAGAATGGGAAGAGGAGTTGGAATTGTCCGATGCTCAGGGCACTGCCGAGGTGTTGGAATCACTAACTAGGAATCTTCAATATAGTCACTTGTCTGCAGTCAGTGAGTTTCAAACCCAGGTAAAGCTCTCCCTCCGCGCCTTCCTTCTTTTTTTGAGACAGGCTGGACTGGTATCATGGTGATCCTCCTTCCTCAGCCTCCTAGGGTGCTGCTCTTACAAGCATATGCCACCCTTCCCACCTACATTCTTAACCATAATCTCATACCTCTCCAGAGGCAGAGAAGAAAACCAATTAGAAAACAATCAGTGGCCAAGACAAGAGGTACTGATAAGGTCAGAGGGATGGGAGCTTCTCCACTGTGAGGCCCTGTGGCTCCAGAGATTGGCTGGACACAGGAACAGAGTTCCTGCCTCCAGTAACTTCACCGTCTGGAAGGAAAGACGCTACAGGATGTTGGTGCCGAGCACATGGCTGTAGTGAGTGTCTGAAGCATATATGCTTGGGCCCCAGAGGAAGAATCATCGCTGCTCATGACAGATCCTGTTTGCAAGAGGAGGAAAAGAATTCCAAGTGGAAGGAACAACCTATGCAAAGGCATGAAGTAATTAGAAAAGTATGAGGTTCAGTGCAACTGGGAGGGACTTGGACAAAGTAGGCCTCGGGAAGACAGAGAATTAGAAGTGGAGGAAGACAGGACATTTTAGGCTGAGAAGCAAGAAGCAGGAAGGGGCACGTGGTGGTGCACATCTGTAATCCCACCACTGGGAGGCTGAGGCATGAGGATCCCTGGAAGTGTGAGGCCAGCTTGGGCTGCAAAGTGACTCAAAACCAGCCTGAACTGCATAGTGAAACCCTGTCTCAAAAAAAAAAGAAAAGGAGGGCTGGGGATTTAGCTCAGCCACATAAGCACCTGCCTTGCAAGTGTGCGGTCGTGAGTTTGATCCCCAGTACCGATTTAAAAAAAGAAATAAAAGAATAGGAGGGGGTACTTGCCCAAATCTCAAGAGGCAGTAAAATTCCATTGTGGAGAAAATAGGCAAGAATAAGGGCCTCAGGTTAAGGTTAGAAATGTGCTCTTCTAGGGGGTTCCAGTATAGTTTGGTTATAAAATTGAGACCCTGGATTTGATCCTTGGAATGACAAAAAAAAAAACCAAAAAACAACCTAGGACAGATGGGATCTGACTCTGATGTAGTGACAGGCTCTGAGGAAAAAGAGGAGTTTTTAAGACTCCAGAATGGAGAGCTAGTTTGCCCAGGCTGGACTCAAATCTGTGATCCGGGCTTATCTCCTGAGAGAGCTGGGATTGTAGGCATGCATCACTGTAGTTGACTTACAATGGTTTTGTGTTGTTGAGATAGGGGCTCATTTCTCACTATTTAGTTCACACTGGCCTTGAACTCAGTATGTATCCCACGCAGGCCTCAGACTCATGGTTTGAGGTGATCCTCCTGGCTTTAATTGGAGGAGTTTTTTTTTTTTTTTTTTTTTTTTTTTTTGGTATTGAGGATTGAACTTATGACTGGGAGCTTGCAAGGTAGGTGCTTATGCAGCTGAGCTAAATCCCCAGCCCCTGGAAGGGAGTTCTTTTAATAGCTCACTTTTGACACCTACACACCCAAAGAAAAAGGATATTAGATTAGCCATTTCAGCTTTGTCCCGTCTGTAGAAGTGGAAGTAGGGGGGGGGGAGTTATGAAATATAGGAAGTTAGACAGTTTCTGCTTTCCCACGTACACAAGAGTATGATAAAATCTGAGGCCCCAGAGCTTAGTCTGGTCTCCTCACCACCGGGGTATTAAGTGAATGTTAATCGAGCCCCACGGTGAGGTTGGTAAATGGAGGTGAAGCGTGATTCTGTGTTCTGTCACTCCCACTGAAGTGTGAGCTCTCGAAGGGCAAACTGTGTTTGAGTGCTCCTGGCACTCCAGGGCCTAGCCCAGTGCCCAGTCTGCAGTGAGCGTCAGCAAGTGCTCGGAGGCTGAGCAGTAGCCCTGCCTCCCAGGACAGGACGTCCTTTGCCGCCTCCCTTGCCCACCCATGCTGCTGCCCCTCTCATGCTGCTGTTTCTCACCCCTAGAGCAAGCTACCCAGCTGAAGAAACTACAGGAGCAGGAGAAACAGCAGAAAGTGGAGTTCCGTAAAAGGGTGAGAATAGCTGGATCGGAGGCAGCCCAGAGGGCGTCCCATCGGTGGAGTTCGGGGCTGCGGGCTGCATCGAACGGGAGGGTGGCGAAGCCTAAGTGCGGGCAGGCGGCAGATGGCAGGGAGGTGTGGGGAGCAGACCAATGCCATTGGCCCAGTGGGGACAGGGATATTTGGATGGAGCTGTTATTTCATATCTTCTTCCCTTTTCTTCTCCTAAGATGGAGAAAGAAGTGTCAGATTTCATCCAAGACAGTGGGCAAGTCAAGAAAAAGTTTCAGCCTATGAACAAGATAGAGAGGAGCATACTGTGAGTGTCTCGGGGCTGGGAGGGGCATGAAAGGGCCAGCAGGGGCCTCTCAAGAGGCAATCACTGGGCTTCCTCGTGGCTCCACACTCTGTTTTGCCTCCCTTTCTCAGACATGATGTGGTAGAAGTTGCTGGCCTGACATCCTTTTCTTTCGGGGAAGATGATGACTGTCGCTACGTCATGATCTTCAAAAAGGTAAAAGGCCAGGTGTGGTGGCACAGTCTTACAATCCCAGCACGCAGGAGGCTGAGGCAGGAGGCTCGCAGCAGTTCGAGACCAGCCTGGGCTACAAAGTGAGCTCAAGGCCAGTCTGAGCTGCATAGTGAGACCTTGTCTCAAGAAGAAAAATAAAAAAGACAGACAGACAGGAAGGCAAAAAGAAAGAGAATAATAAACCAGAAAAAGGTAAAAGACCCAGAGGCTGTGAATATAGCTCAGCCACACAGCACCTGCCTGGCAAGCATGAGGTTGTACGTCCGATCCCTGGTACCAAAAACAAAACAAAAAAAGGGTCAACGGCCTCACTTCCTCACTCTCCCCTTTTCAGCCTGTCCCTTCACCTGAAGGAGAGGAATTAGGCTAAGCATTTATATGGACCCCTGACTCCACTGATTCCTTTTTCTCCAGGAGTTTGCACCCTCAGATGAAGAGCTGGAATCCTACCGCCACGGGGAGGAGTGGGATCCCCAGAAGGCTGAGGAGAAGCGGAAGCTAAAGGTGAGCTGTCCCTGGCAATCCCAGGCCCTCCAGCCACCACAACATGGGCAAGGGCGCAGAGCCAGGCCCCTGAGCACCAGGGTCCCCCCCCGCCGCTGTATCCCTAGGAGCTGGCCCAGCAGCAGGAGGAGGCGGCGGCCCAGCAGGGACCTGTGGTGGTGAGTCCTGCCAGTGACTACAAGGATAAGTACAGCCATCTCATCGGCAAAGGAGCAGCCAAGGACGCGGCCCACATGCTACAGGCCAATAAGACCTATGGCTGTGGTAAGCCGTGGTGGGAGGGGAGCCCCGAGGGCAGTGCGCACCTGGGGAGCCTCTGCCCACCTCCCCCTCTGCCCCCAGTGCCTGTGGCCAACAAGAGAGACACACGCTCCATTGAAGAGGCCATGAATGAGATCCGAGCCAAGAAGCGTCTGCGGCAGAGCGGGGAAGAGTTGCCAACTACGTCCTAGGAGCCCCACTCAGCTCCCTTTGACCTCTGGAGGCAGGCAGGGGACAGGGAGTGACAAGGCTGCTGCTATTAGGACCTGCCCTGGAGCCCCACCTCTGGAGCCACCTTCTGCCAGCTGTCAGGCTGGGGAAGCAGGTGTTTGTCCCTGTTGGAGTTTGGATATGTATATGGGTGTGTGTGTGTGTGTGTGTGTGTGTGTGTGTGTGTGTGTCAGAGAGAGAGAGTGTGTGAATGCACAGGTGGATATTTAATCTGTATTATTGTCTACTCCTTGGAACTTTCTTCCCCATGGAGCTGGGTTACTTTACGTTCAATAAACACTGTTTGACCCAACACCCTAGTCTGTACATGGAAAAATAGGCAGAGAAGAGGAAAAATGTTAAGTTGAACAGTATAAATTTGTTATCTGTGTGAATCAAAGGTTATTGGCATTGGCCCTTATTAGGTAGTGGGTTTTTGTTGTTTGGTGCTAAGTGTTGAACTCAGGGCCTGCATGCTAGGCTACATTCCCAAATGTTTTTATTGTTTGAGACAGGGTCTTGCTAAGTTGTCCAGGTTGAGCTCCAACTTGTGATCTTCCTGCCTCAGCCTTCCAGAGTGCTGAGATTGCAGGCATGTGCCCCCACACCTAGTGTAAATTCAGTACTTCAAAAGCACAGGTGCTGGAGTCAGACAGCTTGCCTGTGGATCCTTGCTCTGTCCGTTCGCTAACTCTGCTCCACTGGGTAAGGTACTTTCTAGCTTTTTGTGCCAGTTTCCTCACCCACACAGTGGAAATAACGGTACCTGGCAGGATCACCTCCCAGGTTACACAGGTCCGTATCTACCGACCAGGACACCTGCAGACCTTTGCAGGCCCTGGGAGGCAGGGGCTGCTCCCCCTTTCACTCAGCCTCACAGAGCACGCAGGCCCTGTATTCCAGTGCGCTCGGTGGTAAGCCTGCCCCGCGGCAGGGGCCGGACCCTCGGCCCTGCCGCACCCCGTCTGTCTTCTGGAGCCAGCTCTGCTCCGCCATCACGCCCGCTGTTTCACGTACACCTGCGTCCCCTGCCTCCTTCCAAAATGTGCATCGAATGCTGGAGCCAGTCCCCAGCTTCCTCCTTGTCCAGCAGGTTACACTGTGTTGTCTGCCTCTCTTTCCTGTCCCTGCCTGCCCACCTCCCTCCCACAGAGGAGCACGCCATGGTCGTTGGCACCAGCTTTATTTCAGGGAGAGGAGTTTGTAGGCCTGGGTCTGTCCTGTCGGGTTTGGGGCCTCCAGCTTCTCACTTGGCCTTCGGGTTACGGAACTTCCGTCCAGCAAAGATGGCGTTACTCCCAAGAGCCTCCTCAATCCTAGAATGCAAACAAAGTCACGGCTGCTGCCTTTGCCTGGCAGTACTCAGCTCTGCCATGCCGAAGCGCTGTACCCTCCGTACCTCATGAGTTGGTTGTATTTGGCCAGGCGCTCTGAGCGGCAGGGGGCACCAGTCTTGATCTGAGATAAGAGGAATTGGGGAGAGCTTAAGGGTTTGGGCCGCCTGGCCCCAAGGGAGCATGCTGTGGTGGCATTCCCCCCAGGCAGAAGGCTGACACCCGCCTCCCACCCAAGGAAACTCGGTGGGAAGGTTAGCAGAGGGAAGGTGTGGGTACCTGTCCTGTGCAAAGCCCCACCACGAGGTCAGCAATAAACGTGTCCTCTGTCTCCCCAGAGCGGTGGCTCACCATCACCCCCCAGCCATTAGACTGAGCCAGTTTGCAGCTGAAAAGAGAAGACATTTAATGAGGCCTGTGGGATCTCCTCAGTGGAAAAGTCGGGCTGGGTAGGACTTTGCAATGAAGGCATTAACTAAGTCTCTGGGGAAGTAGAAGAGAAGAGATCTTGAACTGGGGGCTCCTCCACGCTAGGGGAGGAGCAGGACAATCTAGGGGAAAGGAACAGTACAAGCTGGGATTGGGGAACATAGCAGGGCCATAATGGCAAAGCCCTTGGAGTCAGGCCAAGGATTGCTCAAGGCCTCGAGGCCAAGGTGTGGGTGGGTCAGGTGCCAGGGGAAAGGCAGACTTGGAGTTAGTGGGCAAGACAGCTGCAGTGCGCAGAGCTGGGCTGCGCTGAGCCCCACTCGGGAGTACTCACGCCTGGATGGACTCCGTCACCGAGCCGATCTGGTTAACCTTCAGCAGCAAGCAGTTGCAGGCCTTCTTCTCAACAGCTTGTGCGATTCTCTTGGGGTTGGTAACCGTGAGGTCATCCCCCACGATCTGGATGTCCACCCCCGAGAGGAACGAGGTCCACGTAGCCCAGTCGTCCTGGTCAAAGGGGTCCTCAATGGAGACCACTGGTGGACGTCGAGAGCACAGTCAGGGTTGTAATCCAGAATTGCCTCGGAGGGGTGACAGATACTAAGGTTTGGATGGGATTGCAGTGGGGCTGAGGACAGGACGGACCCAAGTCACAGCCAAGCTGGCCCCGAAGTCAGTGTTAGGCAGTTAGAAAGAACTTGGGCAGAACACTGGAGCAACTCACCAGGATAGTTCTTGATGAAGCTCTTATACAGTTCCCCCAGCTTCTCCCCAGTGATGTGCCTGGCAGGGTCATCAGGTGACTTGAAGTCAAGATCGTACTTCCCGCCGCGGTAGAACTCAGAGGCCGCCACGTCCATGCCAATCACCACCTTGTCTGGGTAACCAGCTGCCTGGATAGCCGTCTTCAGCAGCTCCAGGGCTGGGGGAGAATCAGAGGACCTGAGATCTCAGTGTTCCTCTTTATACCCTGTCCTCCCTCCGTGGGGGCCCAGAGAATCTGCACCCTCGGGAGGGTCCCACACTGACCTTCATTATTCTCCAGGATGTTGGGTGCAAAGCCACCCTCGTCGCCAACATTGGTGGCATCCTTCCCATACTTGGCCTTGATGACCCCCTTAAGGTGGTGGTAGACCTCAGCACCAATACGCATGGCTTCCTTGAAGGAGCTGGCGCCCACGGGCAGAATCATGAACTCCTGCATGGCCAGCTTGTTGCCAGCATGGGAGCCCCCATTGATCACATTGAAGGCCTGAGACAGGGAGAGGGGGCTCAGACCTGGGCTGAGGCACGAGGGACAAACAAGGAATGGAATGGAAGCTCCGACCCCGACCTGCACCCCAGCCCAGGGGTCTGCCTGTCTCAACTAAGCAGTCCAAGGTGAGTAACTTTGCCTACCCTACCTAATTCCCTTTGAATCATCTGTTAAAATTTAGAGAAAGTAAATATGAAGTTCTTAGTTTTAACACTTTCATGGCATTTTTAGAAATGCTTAGGCTGGGTGTGATCCTATTCCTTGGGAGGCTGAGACAGGAGGATCGCTGCAAGTTAGAGGTCAGCCTGGACTGCAAAGTGAGTTCAAGGCCAGCCTGAACTGCAGAGCAAGACTGTCTCAAGAAATGCCTTACATAAGTGAACTCATCTCATTGGGTTTTTTGTTTTGTTTTGTTTTGTTTTGTTTTTGTCTTTTTTGATCTTTTTTGAGACAGGGTCTCACTATGCAGTTTAGGCTGGCCTTGAGCTCACTTTGTAGCCCAGGCTGGTCTCGAACTCGAAATGATCCTCCCACCTCAGCCTCCCAAGTGCTGGGATTACAGGCATGAGCCACCGCGTCCGGCTCAACTAGTCTCATTCTTTAAACACCTCTTAAAAAAATAAACAAGAGCCAGGAAGATAGCTCCAGCATAGTGCCTGCCTGGCACGCACAGAGTCATGAGTTCATTCCCAGTACCAAAAAATCCCAGAAACCAAAAAACAAAAAAGCCTCTGTTAGCTGGGTCACAGAATAATCTGTGATTATTTTCCACTTCACAGATGAACAAACAGAGGCACGGAGCAGTCCATTTGCCTAGGACCACACAACTAGTAATCAAGCAGGGTCAGTTTGTCTCTACAATCCATGTAACACATGAGCTTCCTAGTAAACAACAGATGGGAACATACTGTGATTAAATTCAAAGGGCTTCCACTAAGAGCCCTTTGATTTAATAAGGACTTGAGATGATAGAGAGGAAAGCCAAGGTCCTTGCCATGAAGAAGCTTTCTTCCTATCTGATTTGGGGGGTGCGAGGTGGAGTTACCAGCGAGGGGCTGGAATGTGAGGGAAGCCAATGACACAGCCAGGGAAGCAAACACCGAGAAGAGAGGCGCAGGGAAAGTTTGGACTGTGGGGAAGAGGGAGGGTTAGATTATAGCAGGAGAGATTCCATTTCAGGAAACTGCCTCCTTGGAGGGGGGTCTGAAGGCAAGATGTTCCCCCGGGGCTGTGCTCAGCACCCATGGGCGGCTGGGGGGCAGCTCTCATCCGGCGGGGGGCAGGGGCGGGGCCGGGCACACTCACGGGCACTGGGAGTATGAGGTCAGGGTTCCCAGCGAGGTCTGCAATGTGTCGATACAGCGGGACTCCTTTCTCGGCCGCGCCAGCCTTGCACACTGCCAAGGACACGCCCAGGATGGCATTGGCCCCAAACTTGGCTGGAAGGAGCAAAGTGGGAAGAGAGGGTGAGAGCTGCTTTTGCAAGGTTTGGGGCTACTTCCTTGCCTATCTCTTCTGTGTACCTCAAGAAGAGTCCAAAGCTCCAAACCACCAAGCATTGTTTTTGTCAAAAGATCCCCAGCAGCTTGAGGAGCTCTGGGAGACCCCACCCGAGCGACGTGTGTGCGCTTCACGTCTGTGTCTACAGCTAGCCAGAGCCTGGCAGAGGGCAGGCACCAGGAAATGCCTGTGGGATGAATAAAAAGCTAAACAGCTATGGTGTGCCCCAAAATGTGGGACACAGAAAGAGCCCAGCCAGACCTCAGCCTCTGTGATCTCTCTACCCCGCGGATACTCCTTCCCCACCTCCGGCCCTTCACTCACACTTATTCTCAGTCCCATCCAGCTCAATCATAAATTTATCAACTTTTTCTTGATCCACAACGCTTAGTTTCTAGAAAGACAGGTTTGAGGAGGGGAAAGGAGAGGTCAGACTTCGTGGAGCTGGCTTGTGTGAAAATACTTTCGGGGAAAGGCTACCTGGGGAGAGGGGCTGCTTCGGTAAGGTAGAGGGCACAGAGGGGAGGGAAAGGGGACTAGCCCCTCCACTCGCCTTCTCCAGCAGGGCAGGGCCTAGAGTCTTGTTGATGTGCTCCACAGCCTTCAGCACTCCTAGGGAAGGCAGGGGAAACGGCTCGGATTTCCAAGTCCATGGACTCCAGCTCTGCAAGGGCTTTGGGTTCCAGTCTTCTACCTGCAAGCCCATGTCCCAAAACCGCCCCCACAGGGTCCTTCTTGTTGGTCTCGGCTCACCTTTCCCCAAGTAGCGAGATTTGTCTCCATCTCTTAGTTCTAGAGCTTCATAAATACCCGTGGAAGCTCCACTAGGCACTGCTGCTCGGAATCGGCCTGGAAGAATTGGAAGATCACAGAGAGCCTCCCTGCCTCATCCCCAAGGACGGAAGTCTCCTCCATGGGCGCAGAGAGAGAATCAGTCTTCTCCCAGCTCCAGAACCAGATAGGAAGCAGGGCCAGGAGGAAGTCTGGGGAAGGGAGCCTCAGAGAAAGGGTAGAATGTGGTACAGAAACAGGCAAAGGCAAGGTGAGGTTGGCGCCTCTGAAACAAATTGGTCCAATGGTCTGTGTTACCCTTGGCGGTGTGCAGGTCCACCTCCACCGTGGGGTTCCCCCTGGAGTCCAGGATTTCCCTGGCAAAGATTTTCTGCATGGCCATGGCTGCAGGACAGGAGGTGGAAGTGAGTGTGGACACTTGATCCCCGAAGGAATTAGAAATCTCTTGCCCTTTAAGAGCCTTCCCCACCCCAAGAAGGCAGGTGCTGGAGCTAAAAATACCCCTTGGAAAGGTCAGAGACCAAAGAGGCAGACGCAGCCCCCTCCCTCGCTCAGAGCAGCCATCCCTCACCCCACCTTAGAATTCGGGGCCACTGCCTTCCATGCTTTGGGTCCCGCACTCCTGCACCCTCACCTCCCCCAAAGCAGCACTATGCCTTCCTCGTCCATCCTCCTGGGCAGCGTGTCTCTTCTCCAGGGCTTGCTAGCCTTCATATCCCCTCTGGTACTCATTTTCCTATTCCCCAAATCCGCGCGGGCTGCGGGTTCCTCACCCAGCCTCAACTCTAACCTTCGCTGTGCATCACTGCCTGGCTCAAAGCTTCCTCCCCTGTATCCTGGGGTCCCCCCAGGGTTTGCCACCCTGCCTGCTCTAGGCCAACACTTTTAAGAACCCACACTCCAGGATGAAAAAGAAGTTCAAAATTTCCCGACTATCTCTAAGCCAGCGCCACCCACACCTCCACCCGCGGTGACTGAAAAGTTTCACCAGACCTGGAGTGTCTTCCCTGGAGCCTTGGATGCAGCTCTGAGTCGAGGTGGCAGCTGGGACAGTGTCAGCTCACCCCCTCTCAGGCTGGGCATTTATCCTCAGGCACCCCGTCCCCCCGTCAGCCCCGCCTCTCTCACTCCAACCTCCCCCTTCCACAAGGGCTGGCTGCCAAGCGCCCACTACGGCCTAAAGTAGAAGCCTGTGGCCCTAAGCACCTGCCCCTCTCCAAAGGTTAATGACTAGCCCCCCCCACACTTTCTCTCTGTCCCCCAATAAAAGTTCCTGCTTTAAATTCCACCCCTTGGGAGGAGAAGGGGAGGGGCTTCAGATTAGGGGGTCTCTGCCCTCCCCAGGATTATGTTCCCCTTTTGCAAAGGTTAAAGAGGAACTAGTGCCCTTTAGGAAAGGCCAGAGGTAACCTGAGCTCCGCAGGACTGGGGAGGGGGCCTGGAAGAGGGGCTGCAGGATTGACGTCCACACATGCTCTGCTCCCTCGCTGAGCCCTCAATGTGGGGAGGGACGAGGATGCTGGGCAAGCTCTGGGGTGTAAAACTGAACCCCTTGCCCACACACACATCCAAAAAGGCGAGAGGATCTCACCTCTCGGGGTCTTCACGACGGCCACTCTCATCCTACTTTCTCAGCGGCGGGCGGGTGCGGGGGAGGGGGACCAATTTGGATAGGCCGGGTCACTGGCGGGGTGCCCACTGATAGCGCTGGGCCAGCACTGGCCGCCCAGCCCGGAGCCAGTCTGACAGGAGCCCCTCTCCCACCGACTGCGGGGCTTCTGCGCGCGGCCCCCGCCCATCAGTGAACGGTGTTGACTCGGGAATTAAAATGAATGAACTGGAGGAGGGTGGCCCTTTGTGAGCGTCCGGCTCTTGGGGCTGGTCTCTCCATCTGCTTGCAGCATTGCAGGAAATGGGTACCTACACGGAGTAACTCTCCGGCTGGGAGGGTCTGGGGGTGAGTGTGGGGTGTGCCTGGAGTGTGCCGGCCAACAGGCGGGGAGCTCGGGACGCCTCGGCTCCTCACCCCAACTTCGGGACCCTGCCCGCCGGCGCCGAGGGAGCCTGCGCCGGTGACTCACCCCGGGGCCCGCTCCGAGCTCCCCGCCCCGCGTGTCCCGCCTTCCTGCCTCCACCCCGACAGCCCTACGTACCCCGGTCTCCCATCTCGCCCGCCCCTTTATCTCAGGCCCTCCCTCCGGGATCTTTCCACCCCCGGGTGGGGAGTGCGCAGGCCAGAGGTCAGCAGACGGCGGGCGGGGAGCCCCGCCACGTGCCCGAACGCGGCTCCGCCCGAGCCTGCCAGTGACTCAGCCACGCGGCTGTCCAGGAACACCGGCTCGGGGGGCGTCGGGGGCTGCGCTCCATTTGGGAGGACGCGGTGAAAGGAAGCCCTTTGCAGCCAGCCTGGGAGGCCTGCGTGACCCCCACCCCTCCCCCGGGACCGGAAGCGACCCAGCCCCTCAGCTGCGGGGAAAGGGGGGTCACCCCAGCCCGCCTAGGGGGGCTGCTACATTCTTTACGCGGGCCGGCGAGTGACCTGATAGCACTTAAGGCTTTTAACATAAATTTTACTGGGAAAGAACAAAAAAAACCCAAGGGTGCAAAGTAAAAGAGACTTTGCTCTTCTTGAAAAAGTTGCTAACTTTGGAAGTTTAGTATTCTTCCGCTTTGAAAAATTAGTCCCACCCGCCTAGGGCGGCCGCACGTGATGACCTCTGCAGCGATGGGCCAAGGGGCACTGCGGGTGACCCAAGCTGCTGGCCCAAGGACGGGCGGGGCCGGGGCCCACGGGGAGGCCTTGGGCTACGGGAAAGGCTAATCCCCTGGAGTGCAGATGTGCTCCGAAGGGCCCAAAGCTGTGCGCCACGGGCAGACCCAGAGGACAGGTGCCCCGGGGGGTACTTCTGCCCTGAAAACAGCCAGGATACTTTGTCAAATTCTTTACTTTCTTATTAAATATAATTGTGTTCAATCGGCAGCGCGCAGGCCCGCGCCCCTTCCGATTGGCAGGAGACAAGCTCTTGGGCCACCCGCCTTTCCAGGAGAGTCCAAATCGGTCCGGCCAGGCGCGCGCCCGAGCGCCGGCGCGGGCACCAGGAGGCCGGCCCAACCGCCCCGCGCGCTGTCCCTGCTGGCTCCGGCGCAGGCGCGGGCGCACGCGCCGCAGCCGACTGCCGTTCCTTCCCTCCGGCGGAGGTGGGGGAAGAAGTCGTTCCTTTTAACCCTGGGTTCCCCGAACTCTTTTTAATTTGCTCAATTTGCATCTTGCTAATTCTTTCTTTTTCCTTCCCTTCTCTGGCTCACGCCCTTTCCCTCTACCAAGTCTGGTGTGTATAGTATGCGGACTTGGGCAAGCCTTAACCTGAGGTTCTCCTCCGCCAGCCCCCCACCCTTTTACATTGCTGTCGGTCGAACTCTGCAAATTTTGCAATAGGGGGAGGGATTTTTAAAATTGCATTTGCAAAGTTCGGTATCTGGGCAGGAGAAGGGGAGAGGAAGGAGGGAGGGGATGGGAAGAAGGCTCCGCCTCTACCGCCCTTTGCAAATAAAAATCTAGAAGGGGGGAGGAGGAGCAGGAAGTGGCGGTGCGAGGGCTGCTGCACTGCTAGCATAGCCGCGGTCCGGACTGTAGCGCGTGCCCCGAGCTCTCCGCCTATCCTCGCCCGCCTGCCAGAGCACAGCCCGCGGCCCCCAGCAGCAGTGCCGACAGCAGCCCCAGCACCAACGCCATGGCCGGGTGGAACGCCTACATCGACAACCTCATGGCGGACGGGACCTGTCAGGACGCGGCCATCGTGGGCTACAAGGACTCGCCCTCTGTCTGGGCCGCCGTCCCCGGGAAAATCTTCGTCAACATCACGGTACTTAAAAGACTTGCGGGGTCCCAGGCACTGGCCGGCCCTGGACTCAGGGTGGGGGCTGCGGGTCTGCGGAGGCCAGGGAGAGGCCAAGACCGGGTCCTTGCCCTGGAGCCGGCGCGGATGGCGGTTGCACGTGAGCCGGTCGCTTTGCTGCCCCTAAGACCTGCGCTCCCGGCGGCGGCGCCCATCCCGCCGGCCGCCCCGCTTTCCGCGACGGGGCGTTACATCCGGGGCATAGGGCAGGGAGGGGCGCGCCGCCCGGTGCTGCGGCCCACTTCCGCCTCCCCCGGGCGGGGCGGGCTCGCGCTGCAGATTTTCCCCAGAAATTGTGGTTGAGAAGGGGTCTGGGAGCACCTGGCTCCACCTCCGGCCGCGGCCTGCGCCCCCCGCACCATTGTTCTTCCAAATGCGGGCGTGAGCCCCAGGCGCCCGGGCGTGGGTCCGGGCCCGTCCCCGGGACTCCCTGCGCCTCCCGACTCCGTTAGCGGGGGCGAGGCCGCCGCACGCCCCCCGACTCCGCGCGCCGGCCTCCACATTCCTGTGGGCCATCCCGGAAGTGCCCTCTCCCTCCCTTCCCGCCATATGGCGGGTGCTGGAGCCGGGAACTTTGTGGGAAGTTCGGAGTTGGTATAAGTGGGGGAATAAGGGATGACCGCCGCTGTACAACCACCTCCCCTGGCCACACTGCCCGGAAGTGGGGAGGGGTAGCGGAAGTTCGAAAGGGGGGAAGGGGATTTCCGGGCGGGCGGGCCCGGATACGGGGATTTGGGGTGTAAGGGGGAGGGGAGAAAGTTTCCCTGGGGTGTCTGGACCCCAGAGCTGGTTTACCCGGTCTCACTCCCCCCTCTTACAAGTTTTCCAACTTCCCCGGAAGGCCTCTAGGGGTCTGCTGGCCCATCTTGAGATACAGACACCTGGACTTGAACTGTAGGTTACTTAGAGACCCAGGCGTCCGGGCCCCTAACAACTCCTGCAGAACCTTTGACCAAATAAGGGCAAAGTTGCTTCTCCTGCTTTGCCCGCCCCCTCCCTTCCTCTCTCTGCTTCTGCTTTTCCTGAAGGAGACTTCTTAGCATCCAAACTCTCCTTAGTGTCCTCACTGGCATTTTTGGTCCCCTGTTTTCCTGGGTTTGCTTTTCTTATTAAAACACTTGAGATCTGAATGTCTGGAACAATCTATTAACCTTTCCTCCCTAGTCCCATTGACTAGGTGTGAGAATCATGATCCCCTTCTGCACCGACTTGCCACAGTATTTTCTGAGATTTCATTGATAGGTATAAAATCTTAACTCCACTGTAGAGTAGCTTCCAGAGAAGTGGAAAACAGGTGGGTTCTTGGAGAACAAAGTGAGAATCTTGGTGCACTAACTTTTTGGGTGCCTGATTCATCTTCTAGCCAGCTGAAGTCGCTGTCCTGGTTGGCAAAGACCGGGCAAGTTTTTTTGTGAATGGGCTGACACTTGGGGGCCAGAAGTGTTCTGTGATCCGGGACTCACTGCTACAGGATGGGGAATTTACCATGGATCTTCGTACCAAGAGCACCGGTGGAGCCCCTACCTTCAACGTCACTGTCACCATGACTGCCAAGAGTGAGTTTCTGAGTTTTATTCCTCTGGCTCTGTGTTTTCTCTGTGTACTTAGATTTTTCATCTTTTGGGGTTTTTTTTCCAGTATTAGTCCCTCTAGTTTTGCTTCATTCCCTCTCTTGTAATGTTAAGAAATTGAACTGCATTACCTCCAAGTTACTGTCTGCCTTTGAGATTTTTCAGATTAGAAATCTAGTTTTCTTGGAGTAGATTGTTGGGACCCAAAGTCACCCACTGCTTGGCTCTGATCTTTTGAGCTCTTGAGAGATGGCAGGCTCATCCACAGCCATTTCTAGTCTAAGCAGTGTGAATCCGGTGTAAGAGGCTTTGACCCCTGAATATTAGCTTCTTCCTCTCTGGCCTTTAAGGCTGACTTTCCCCTTTTGAAAAGCTCTTTTGTTTCAGGGTGACTGACAGCCTGCCTGTGGGGGGGGTTGGGGAGGGATGAGGTTGGATTACAGCCCCTAGGGCTGAACAGCTGCTGAACAGCTGGCAGGGGTGGATTTGAGACACCTGGGTCCTAGCCTTCTTTCTCTTTCCTGCAGCGCTAGTCCTGCTGATGGGCAAAGAAGGTGTCCATGGTGGTATGATCAACAAGAAATGTTACGAAATGGCCTCCCACCTGCGGCGTGCCCAGTACTGACCTCGTCTGTCCCTCCCCCTCCTACCATTCCCATCCGCTTTTGCACCCCTTCCTTCCCATACACACACATACACCATTTTTATTTTGGGGGCCATTACCCCCTATCCTTTATTGCTGCCAAAACCACATGGGCTGGGGGCTGGGGCTGGATGGACAGATACCTCCCCCTACCCATACCCCTCCTATGTGTGGTTGGAAAACTTTGGTTTCTTGTTTTGTTTTTGGTGTTTTTTTTTCTGAATAAAAAAAGATTCTAACAATGTGCTGTGTTGTCTGAGCTTGGGTGTCAATGGACTAGAGGCACTGTGACCTGCCTTTATCCTGGCCTACAGTTAGGAGCAGGAAGGTGTAGGCACTGAGCATCTTGCCTGCATGTCCAGGACTGACCCCTCCTGAACTCACGTTTTCCTCTGCCTCCATTCCCACATCCAGTATTAAGCCTAAGTGGCCTTGGCTCCTGCATGGTGGCATTTTCCAGCCTAGGTCCTCAAGTGTTACTCAAACCAGTAGGTAATGGAATAGAGCCATTCAGACTGAGAAGGAGTCCAAGCCTGTGGGTAAGGCAGGGCCAGTTGAGTCATCCTCATCTGTAGGTGGGGCTCCCCTTCTCTGAGTCACAGCAAAAGGCTACTGGGGCTGTCCCCATAACTGCAGGTTGGTCTCCCAGTGTTGCCCTCTCCCACAGAAAAAGAGGTGATGTTCCCAAGTGATGATATTCACCTGTTTGAAAAATGACCTTACCCTTTCTTAGTCCACAAAAACAATTTTATTTTTTATTAAGCCAAGAAATGATTAATCCCTTTGCCACTTCCCTCAGCTCCTTCAAAAGGATGGGGCTGGGTAAGGGAGAAACCTGGGATGGAAATACCCCTTCTCTCTCTCAAATTACAAGACTTGAGGGAGGAAGGCCTGTGTCAGTAGGTTACCAACAGGGCTAAGTGGGAGCCTTAAACCAGGATGGCTGGTATGGAGGAAGAGGAGGAAGGAGAAGGTGGGGGGTCTGTGGAGGGCCCAGGAAAAATCAGGGGGGCTGGGGCTAAGGAGCCAAAGGAGGTGGGGAGGGTGGGGCTGGAGCCCAGGAGCGGGGTCCGCTCTGAGGCCAGCTGGTCCCTGGGCTCCCCTTCCGCATCGCCCTCTTGCCCCTGTGTCTCCTCTTCCTCCTCGTCCCCAGGGCCCCGGTGGACAGGCTGCTTGCAGATGGGGCAAGTCTTCCTGGTCTGCGTGAGCCAGGGGTCCACACAGCGGCTGTGGTAGGCTGCAGAGGAAGGAGGTGAAGGACTTGGTACCTGTTGTGGGGGAGGGCACGGAGGGCACAGGCAGTGAAGACCTCACCATGAGCACAGGGGAGGACCCGCAGCTTGTCCCCATCCTCATACTCGTCCAGGCAGATGGCACAGACATCATACTGGTCTCCTAGGGAGAAAGGGATCTAGTCCTTTACTGGACTGTTCTGAGCCAGGACCCACAAGCACACTGGCAGGCTTGTGGTAGAACTAAGTCCTATACAAATCATTTTCCTTGGTTCTACAGAGAGACAGAACACTAAACTTGGGGCAGGCAGGACGAGGCCCTAACATGGAAGAACTTTGGGACGGAGGGAACCTGGGCTGAAAGGGCCAAGTAAGCTAGCAGAGGTAAGAAGGGAAGTGGGTTTGGGGGGAGGCGGGGAGATGGGGCAGGGCTCCGGCTACAGCCTTATATGGGCACTGGAGGCTCCAGGGTTTGAAACCAGCCTCCGCTCACCCACCGGCTCACCCATGGTCTCTTCTCAGCCCTCACTCCTTCCAGTTTTCTCTGTTCTCACCCTTCTCCCCAGGGTCTACCATTTTGCTCAACTACTTCCCTTAAGCCTTGTGCTCCATGTCCTGCTCTCTGTCCTCACCTGTCCGCACTGCACATGTGGGTGGCTTCTGGGGTTTAAACCTCCTCAGTGCCCTATCTGTGTACCCCTTGTGTGCCGGGCTCAGGCCTTAACCAGTAAGCTGGGAAAGACCCTCTGTCCTCCTCTGCCCTCACCTTTCTGATAGTCGTGAGTAGGAATCTGTTTCAGTTGCTCTTTGGTCAGTCGATTCCGCTGAAGCCGTTTCCGGTGCTGGATACAACGAACTATCTAGGGGAAGGAGTGGACAGATCAGGCTTAGAACAGAAAACGAGGCATCCAGCATAATGACGGTGAACCTATGAGAGACTAGTACCCACAGTGTAACCCAAAACCCACTTATGTATCCCAAAGTGCCAATTCTCCAATTAAACTCAAGGTTTTAGTTTTGTGTTTTTTTTTTTTTAAAGGCAATTCATACATTAACATCTGCCTTAAAAGAAAAGAACAGCAGGTCACAGATTTACTACTACTGATCTAGCATGTACCTTGCCCGCCTCCCATCTCAAGATCTAGTATGGCCTTAAAAGCCTGATTCTTCCCCTGGGGTTCCCCGAGCTACCCACCATTACTGTTCCCATGGCCAGAACCAGCAGTCCTACAATCCCAGTGAAAGGAATGAGGTAATAGCCCAGGGGGAAGCCGTTGTCTGGAACCAGAAGCACCCGAGCCCTGAGGAAACAAGATCAATCTTAAGAGTCAAGAAGCAAAACTGAAGGAAGAGGGACAAGGTAACTGGGTCCCAACAGGCCTCACAGGTGAAGAAGGTGGGGAGAGTCGGCTGGCAGGGAGCAGGGATCCAGGGCCCAGTGGGTGGGGCAGTGAGGCCTGGGCCCAGGTTCGCACGGGGCTGCTAACTGAAGAGTAGGGGCCACGTGTCCTACCCCTTCTCGTAGACGAAGAGGGCACGCAGGTACTCGGCACTCCTCTCCCCAATAAACACGGACGGGATCCAGATCTGCTGCTGAATCTCCTCTGCAGGGATCACGGTGTTACACCATGAGCTCAACCTTCCACCCCTACAACGCTTTGGGAACCTTGGCATTTGATGCGCGCACGCGGACACACAGGATTCCCCTAAGCCTTCAGCCCTCCCAGTACCTCTCAATCTGAAGCACTACTGCAAACGGAGCCATCTGAATGACCCATCCTTTTTTTTTTTTTTTTTTTGGTCTTTTTCATTTTTATCGGTACCGGGGATCAAACTCACTACCACCTGCTTGCAAGGCAGGCGCTATGCCGCTGAGCTAAATCCCCAGCCCCCCACACACACACAAATGACCCATCTTACCACTATTCCACACCATGTTCAGCAGTTCATTGGAATTCACATTGTGTACCACAGCTGCACCATACCCAGCCTTCTGAGCATTTAGGACCTAGGTAGCCAAGGCAGGAGGTAAGAAACCATCACGAGCCCTATCTTTCTCCATTCCGAGTGTTTTTATTCACCCTCAGCTTCCCAGCTCCCATTTCCACATTCAGCAACCTTGAGGTCAAAGTTGCAGTCGAATCTGCGAAGCAGTGCAATAAAGACTGAGCCATTGCCCGGGGTTGGGGGTGGTGGGGCAATAGGACTGCAGGCATTTTCTGGGTGAGCCTCCACAAGGAACCCCTGGGGGACAGAAGCAAACATCAGTTGGGGTTATCAGAGCTAGATTCTGCTTCCCACAAGACCCCCCACACACTGTCCCCTCTTCCACCTACAGATCCTGTTCTCCTGTATTCATGGGGTCTCAGTGTAATCCCACCCACATCTGAAATCTACATCTCTTAGCTTCCTGAACATGCAACTACAGCAAACATTCCATCACAGATCCTCTAATCACCTCTCTCATTGTTCCAAGTGAGCTAACCTATACTTCGAACTTAGATTAACTCAACTCTATCGTCCAGTATCGTGGCTGTAATTCAGTTCTCTACCCATCCCCACGTCGTACTCTCAAAATAGTTCACACTTTCCTCTTCAGTACACACAGAGTGTACCTGCCTCCCTTCAGTTTACAACTACCCATCTGAGAAGGAACTCTGCTGGCATCTATGACCCAACTAGGTTCTTGTGTAGCAGCCTTTGTAGTGAAACACTACAGAACTGCTTACCTAACTCTCTTCTAACACAATAACCCGAATATAATTTCTGTTACTATATTATACTAAAAGGCTCAGAAAGAGAATTAGTTTATCCAAAGTCATTCGACCAGTAACAGGCTTCAGAAACACTACTGATAAGCACCACTTTTCGTCCAGCATTTTTATCTAAGTACATTTTTAGTATCCCTCCTAAGTTTGGGGTTCCAGGATAAAGAGTCTTCTACTTCTGGATCTTGGATTTCACGGAAGGCATGGACATGCATTTCGTTCCTAACTGGTCTTCTACCTCTAAGGTTCACTCTGGGCATGGCTCCTCAACTTCTGCCCAAGACAGAGGATATGGGAAGCACAATGCTGGGAAGATCACCTGGAGTCCCTCCTGGCTCAGGGTAGCCCCAAACAGAGCTGGGAGGTCTGCAAAGTCCATACTGGCATTGTGCTCCGAGGTCTGCAGAGAAAAATGGCCATGTCTTCCCTCAGTCCGCAACCCCCTCCCTTCGGCGCCCTCACCCTGTCTGCCCTTTAGACTCACCGCTCGAATGAGCCCCCGGATGGGGGTCGCTCCCCACAGGACAGTGACCACAACCACAGGAAGTGGGAAGGCCGCAGGGTGCATGGCAGCGGGAGGGGAAAGCCGAGGAGGTTCCGTCCTGGTAGCAGGAGCAGAAGCGGATTCCGCACCCTCCCTGCCCCTCCTTCAGGATCCCAGGGGTCCAGTCACCCCCAGGTCTCACCTCTCAGCTACATGGGGGCGCCGGGGGAGGAACCCCGACTTCGGGAGCTACACAACCCGTTTGATGAGGCTGGGAGAGACACTAAAAAATGTACGCTTTCCTGGTGTAGAGAAAAAACGGAGAAAGGGAACAGATGCAAACACAGGTGACAGAAAAACTTCGGAAGGGTGGGGGTGCGCAGAGGTGGGACTTCCGGCCAGGTGGGCGTCTTCCTAGCCCCTGGAAAAGGGTTTCCGGTAGAGAAAGTCAAGCCGCTTCCAGCATTGGTCGGTCACACGAAGGACTTCCGGTTCTAAAAGGCCGATAGAAGAGGTGTTACAGGTGGAGGGATGCCCAGAAGACGAGCCAGTCCTTTCCTTTTAGTACCCGAAATTCCTCCAAGAACCACTTGTTTACAAACCTCTCCTCCTCCCTGGCAGTCGTCGAAGTCGCATCTCCAAGTCTCGCGAGAGCGTTCACATTTCTCCAACTCCCCCGCCTCCGACCAGCCGCTACTGAAATCTTGCTCTATCGCGAGACACTTCCAAGTCTGGCTACTCGGACTTGCTCGCTCTCGCGAGACCTTCAAAAAAACTTCTCTATTTTCCCGCGATTCCAATTTGGTAAAAACTGCGCCTGTAATTTAAGGTTCTGAAACCAACCATACCCCTACTCCGAGCCTCCTTTAAGCTCCGCCTTACTCCCAGCCGCCTTTGCGCTGTGCGCCTGCGCCGGCGCCAGCTTACAGCTGGTGCTGAACCTGAGAGCTGGGGGGGCGTGCGCGCGCCCTGCCCTGTTGCGCGCTCAGTGTCACCTTGGGCGCGAGCGGGCCGCGCGCGCTCGGGACCCGGAGCCGAGAGCCATTGAGTAGCGATGGCGGCGACGGCAAGTCCCGGGGCCGGCGGGATGGTCGGGAAGCCCCGTACCTCTCCTAAGTCCGTCAAGTTCCTGTTTGGGGGCCTGGCCGGGTAAGCTCAGGCCCCGGAAATGGGAAAGGAAGAAGGGACGGGTGCAAGGAATTGGGCCCTGCTTTTTTCTGGGTCTCTGGTAGTGAGCTGAGCCGGCACGAAGTCAGCATGATCCCCAGCGTATCGCGAGGTCCTTCATGGGCTGCCAGGATCTTTTTTTACCCATTGTAGGGTCCCTACTGGGCTACTTCCAGGGTCATTGCTTGCCCTCATTGGGCCACCTGAGTTTCCCAGCTCGCTGCTTGATTCTCTGCCTGACTATATGGGGTTCCACGTTACCAAATGGTTCCTTGCAGGACTATTTCGAGGCCCAGGTCGTGGATGCTCCCTTCCTGGCCACTCTGAGTCGAACTGCAAGCTGTCCCTGCTCATTGCTTGATCCCCATGGAACTACCTGAAAGCACTTTTGTTGCATGGCTTCTACTGGACAAGTGTGCTTTTCAGATGTGTTGCACTTGGTGCACCCAGATTTTATACACGTGCCCTTTAGCCTCTTGAATGCCTAACTGCATGGTAGGCCCTGACCTTTGCAACTGCTGTCGGGCTCCAAAAGGCACTGGCTGATCTAGAACACGACTCTTGACTCCACTCTTGCTTTCCTGCAGGATGGGTGCTACAGTGTTTGTGCAGCCCTTGGACCTGGTGAAGAACCGGATGCAGCTGAGCGGGGAAGGGGCCAAGACAAGAGAATACAAAACCAGCTTCCATGCCCTTACCAGCATCCTGAGGGCAGAAGGGCTGCGGGGCATTTATACTGGGTATTAGGGCCTCCGGCTGTGGGGAGGGGAGGGATTGGAGGATCCAGGCCTTGGCCTCATGCAGTGACCCCTTTGCTTCCCAGGCTGTCCGCTGGACTGTTGCGCCAAGCAACCTACACTACTACTCGCCTTGGCATCTATACAGTGCTGTTTGAGCGCCTGACTGGGGCTGATGGTACACCCCCTGGCTTTCTGTTGAAGGCCTTGATTGGCATGACTGCAGGTGCAACTGGTGCATTTGTGGGAACACCAGCTGAGGTGGCTCTTATCCGCATGACTGCTGATGGCCGGTGAGTTCTAGTACAAAGCCTAACCCCAGCCCCGTTCCTGGATTCTAGGATGAAAGAGCATTTTTTGTTTGTTTCCTTTGTTTTCTTCCCCCTAGAGCAGGGTATTTACCTGCTCATGTCTCTCTTACTTCTGTGGGCAGCATGGATTATTATGATCTTGGCTTATCTTTGCCCTCCTATCAGGCTTCCAGCTGACCAGCGCCGTGGCTACAAAAATGTGTTTAATGCCCTGATTCGAATTGCCCGGGAAGAGGGAGTTCCCACACTGTGGAGGGTAAGAAAAAGGGCTGGTGATCTGAGAAGACTGGGGTCTGATCTCTGATATTTCTGACTCTCCCTCCACTCCCCTTCCTCTAGGGCTGCATCCCCACCATGGCTCGGGCTGTTGTTGTCAATGCTGCCCAGCTCGCCTCATACTCCCAGTCCAAGCAGTTCTTACTGGATTCAGGTGAGGCTCAGAGCTAGGCTTGCAGCTCCCAGTTGGCCTGGGCCACCTCTAGCTGACCATCACCTCCTGCCTTACTCCCCAGGCTATTTCTCTGATAATATCCTGTGCCACTTCTGTGCCAGCATGATCAGTGGCCTCGTCACCACTGCCGCTTCCATGCCTGTGGACATTGCCAAGACCCGGTGAGTGCTGGCCTGGGTCTGGGGAGCTGTGAGAGGGGACCCTGCTGTTTCTCATGACCCTGCACCCTCTCTTTCAGGATTCAGAACATGCGAATGATTGATGGGAAGCCAGAATACAAGAATGGGCTGGTGAGGAAGCTGGGTTGGGGGCTTGAGCTGGAGTGTTGGGTGCCCTGGGAGGGGTATGTGGGCAGCTGGGTAAAGGGGACAGGGCTGTAGAGGCCAGGTCCTACCCCGAGCACCCTGCCTGCTGTCTGTCTAGGATGTGCTGGTGAAAGTCGTCCGTTATGAGGGGTTCTTCAGCCTGTGGAAGGGCTTCACACCGTACTATGCCCGCCTGGGCCCCCACACTGTCCTCACCTTCATCTTCTTGGAGCAGATGAACAAGGCCTACAAGCATCTCTTCCTCAGTGGCTGAGGCGGCAGGGTGCCTGGAGCCAGCTTGCTGTGGCTCCCGGTCCCCCCCCCCTGCAGTCACTGTGCCCCCAGGAGCCTGGACTCTGCTGCCCCGGGCCCCTCTATTTATTTCCCTGCCACAGTGTGGTTTCTTCCTTTGCGGTAAAGGACTGTGGTCTGTTCTGCCCCCTGGTCCGGCTTGCCCTGCTTCTGACACCTGTTTCTCATGACAACTCTGTCCTTCATAGTTCCCTGGGAGAGCTGGGGATTCTGGTCTCCTCTTGGATTTCAGGGCGCATGGGACAGCAGAAGATTACCCTTGTCATTGGGGAAACCAAAGCAGAGCTGAGGGGATAGGAGAGAACAAAAGGTAGCAAGATGATCACAGGGTCCGCAGTGGGAGGATGTGGCCTTCCTCCCCCCTCACTGAGGACTTAATAAATTGGATTGATGATACAACCCTCAAATCTGGAGCATTGTGGGGCTCAGAAAGGGGAGCAGACTGGACAAAGAAGCTGATGTCTCTGGAAAAGAGGAAGTGGAGTTTTTAAGAGAAAATATTAAAGAGAAAAAGCCCTAGCTGATGTTACAGAAATTATATGTAAATCAGTCATGCCACAGATACGACAGGGCAAAGAAATCAAAACTCTGGCCTCGTTGCTTCCAAGCCACTCGCCCAAGAATGCAGCGGACACACAATTCATGTCACCTAACCCTCCAGAAAAGCCTCTGGGATCCAGTGACTACTTTTGCAGCTAAAGCCAGTGTGTGTGTGTGTGTGTGTGTGTGTGTGTATCTGTTTTGTGGGCTACAGACTCAAGGATGAGGGGTAGATACTGGACCCCTGCATAAGGGCTGGGTACTGAAGCCAGATCCATAACTTGAGGAACGGGGGGTATTGGGCAGAAACTTGGGCTAGCTGGAGAATGTGTCTGCCTCCTATTTTTTGCCAAGTATGATTCCTGGGTCCTGCTTCAAGGAGCTTACAAATCTCTTGGAGCTAGAAGGGGCATGGAAAGGTCAAAGCAGGAGGAGTGCTGGGTAGTTTGAGGCCTGCATGCTGTGTGCCAGGCCAGGGGATAGGCAGGCAGCAGGTGGGAGCTGACCCCTTGGCAGAGCCTTATGAACAGAGGAGGTGGTGCCCAGCACCCTGGCACCCCTACTGCAGCCTCCCTTCTTGGTCCTCCAGGCCCACCATCCTGGGCCATGGTGGCTACTTTGAAACATCTGAAGCCAGCACCTTGGCCTTAAGAAATTTCAAATCTAGCAGAAAGACCACACTGAAGCAGTTGGGAAGAGTGTAATGGAGGCTATTCCCGGGGAGCCTGCAGCGCGCGGCACAGCCTAGGAGGAGGGACGTACATGTAGTCACAGGTTAGGAAGAGCGGCAGAGACAACTTGTGAGAGTGAGGCCGGTGCCTGGAGAAAGGCTGCGGGGAGCAGGGGACTTGTCAGACATTGCAGTGACTGGACCACTGCAGACTGTGGTCCTGAGAGGTGGGAATGGCCTGTTAGCAGGGGAAATCCTCAGTTGCTAGGCTCCTTTGTCCTGAGGCCGAGGGTGTACCTCACATATAAAGCCCTGGGTCTATCACCAGTACCACCAAAGAAAAACTCCTTTCCATGGAGAAATGTTCAAAGCACAAGGAAGACAGACTCAGGTTACTAAGACCCATTCCGTAACCATCTGCAGCAGGGTGTCTCAGCGGAACCAAACAGACCCAGCTTTCACCTCCGTTCTCTGACTTCCTCATAAGGCCAAGATTGAGCCGGGATCGAGCAGGAGAGGAAGCTTCCCCAGTGTGTTAGGTAACAGCAGGATCAGTGGAATAAGAAGGGTCCCTTTTACCTGCACCCTGGCTTAAGAGCGGGAACCGGGAGGACAGACATTGCCAGATCCACTACCGCCCCGTCCCACTGACCTGGGCGGTGAGAGGCGCTTCATTTCAGAGGCTGGAGGTTCAAGCAGGCACCCACCTTCATGCTGGGGCTGCAGGCTCCAGGCTGCAGGCAAGTAGGTTCCTGCAGTGAGACCGACTCCAGGAGGCTCACTGTTCTGTTCTGGACTGAACCTTATAACCTTATGGCTGGCGGGTGGCCACCCCAGCCGGAGAGCAGCCAAGCCAGGCAGGGGAAGGAGTGGGTGCAGTGAGGTTTGCTGGAACCAGAGTGAGAGCAGTTGGGACCCTGGGAGTTCTTGTGACAGGTACCCCAGTAATTCTCCAAAGGAAACTGTCTTCTTTTTAAAAATATCTTTATTGTACAAATACTATACAGTTACGATGAAAGCTAGGAAGTGCTAAGCAGAGGGGGTTAATTCATATGACATCTAAAAAATCAGCACTCATGTTCTGAAAAAATAAGTGTCCAGATTTTCTGTACAGATGCATGTGGGAGCCGTGCACTGGTCTATTTGATTTTTTTTTTTTTAATTTGGTACCAGGCATCAAACTCATGGCCGTGCACTTGCTAGACAAGCGCTTATGCCACTGAGCTGAATCCAAAGTCCTGGTCTATTTGCTTTAAACCACCCTCCCCCAAATTTTTAAATGAATATCTGAAAAATAAGAAAAAAATCCAAATGTAATGACAGTAACTGTATGGCCTGGTGTCCCCCGCGTAGCCCTGGGAGCTTGGCTCCATGACCCTCCCAGCTCCCTCCTGTTAGCTACCCTGTCTGATTTGGAGGGGCTGGGATTGTATTCCTGAATGTGGAAAGAGGCTTCAGGTAAAGGAAAAGTAATTAAGACTTGTGATCCTTTGCGTCTTACACCAGTTAGATCCCCACAGGGCAGCCCGCGCAAGCCTCTCAAGGGTCACCCAGATCTCTCACCTTCAGAGGCTGTGACCAGAGTACCTAATACTCACTGTGCCCAGCAGATCTTGCCCGCGACCCTGACTCAGCGCTGAAGGCCTCCGTCTCGGTACCAGAGGCCCCACATGGCCATTAGGCCTTATCCACAGGAAGAGGCTAGACCGGAACGTGGGGAGTGACCCTCGAACAAAGAGAAGCCGGGCCCTGGGCATGGTTATTTCCCTTCCTTTCTGTACCTCCAGGCGTGTGGTGTATGTGGTCAGGGGAACAGGCTGTGGGGTCACATGCCAGACCCAAGTTAGCAGCAGGATGAGGACCACAGAGGCAAACAGGAGCCAGAGGAGACCTAGGATGTAGAAGCCAAGCGGGAGCAGACAGCAAAGGTCAGGGCTGAGAAAGGGGTCATTTCTGGAGCCATCAAAATATGCTTCACTTATCGCTGGCATAAATTCTGGGGTGGCTGTTGGGATTAAGGTTATAAGTTCTGGAGTAGTAGATTCTAGGGTGGCTGAGGTTGAGGTGGACTCTAAGGTAGTCAAGGTTGTAAGTTCTGGGGCAGTTGAGGTGGTGGATTCCAGGATGTTCTGGGCTGTGCTGGTAAGTTCTGGAATGGTCTGGGTTGTGGTAGCTTCTGGGGTGGTTGGAGCTTTGGTTGGCTCTGTTGTAGTCAAGGTTGCAGTAGATTCTGGGGTGGTTGGAGCTTTGGTTGGCTCTGTTGTAGTCAAGGTTGCAGTAGATTCTGGGGTGGTTGGAGCTTTGGTTGGCTCTGTTGTAGTCAAGGTTGCAGTAGATTCTGGGGTGGTTGGAGCTTTGGTTGGCTCTGTTGTAGTCAAGGTTGCAGTAGATTCTGGGGTGGTTGGAGCTTTGGTTGGCTCTGTTGTAGTCAAGGTTGCAGTAGATTCTGGGGTGGTCAGGGTTGTGGGTTCAGTAGTGAGTTTTGAGGTTTTAGAGAATGTAGATTCTGTGAACGTTAGGAATGTGGAGGAATCCGGGATCCATGTGGGTGGGGACGTGGTCTGTTTCTTAGTGGATTCTTGTGGCGTTTGTCTGTCCAGAGGAGAAATAGATTCTGAGTGGAGCAGGCCCAAATAGGCTGTGTGGGCTTGGGTGTTGGTAGAGAACTTGACCACTGTCTTTTGGGAAGGCACATAAATCTCAGGGTCTGTGTCATAGTCATCATAGGATATGTCATCGCTGTCACCAAGGGCGGAGCACTCCTTGCCTGGGTATGTGTAGACAGGTACGTTGGCCAGGTTGGCACACTGCACACTGGATACACTGGGGGTCATAGCCTTGTCATTTTCTCCCTCCTTCCATAAGTAGACATTATTGGGGTTGTCATTCAGCCAGTGACGAAAATAGAGGATCTCACAATCACAATGCCAAAGGTTGCTATGAAGAAAAGCAAAAGGCAGGAAGAGGTCCCCAAAGAAACCCTTTGGTATTGTCTGCAAGGAGTTGTTTTGGAGGAAGAGGGTGTCGAGGTCCTCCAACTCATTCAGGAGCCCAGGGGGAACTTCAGCCAGCCCGTTGTTGGCTAAATTGAGCTTCTTCAGCTGGGATGTGGATGCCAGGAGCCTAGGGGGCAGAGTCCTGAGCTTGTTGTCTTGTAGGTAGAGTTCATGGAGCTGGCTCAGGTCATCAAAGGCGTCAGGAGGCAAAGCAGTCAGCTGGTTGAATGAGACGTCCAGAGTGCTGAGCGCAGGCAGCGCCCTCCCGAGAAAGGGCAGACTTTGCAGCTTATTGTGGGAGATATCCAGGGTCTTCAGAGACGGCAAGTGTGCATCGACCTCCAGACTGGTGAGCTCAGTGTGGTCCAGGTACAGCTGAGTAAGCTGAGTGAGGGGCACCAGGGACTCCAGGGAGAAGGTGACGAGGGGGTTCCTACCCAGGTGGAGGGTGGCCGTGTCTGCTGGCAAGTCTGCAGGCAGCATGTTCAAGTTCATGTTTTCACAGTTCACAATCACCCGCTTGCCCGCTCTGGAGACCTCGATCTCAACATTACAGACGGGATGTGGGTGTAAGGGGCTTGGCAGCATAAGCAGCAAGAGGAGGAGAGGCATGGGGACCTGTGGACGAGGGGATCGTGAGTGGACGCCCCACCAGTTCCTCATGACTCCTCCAGGCCCCATCCCCTCGCCCCACTGGCTCTCGGGGTCCGCAGCCTCCCGCTCCCCTGTCCCACCCTTGCCCCCAGAGCCTGAACTACTAACTCGGGGTCCTCGGCTCCTTCCCCTCCTCCAGCCCTTCCTCCTTCCCAGCCCCAGCCCCGCTCACAGGCAGCAGAGACCTCCGAGGGCGCAGAGTTTCTTCTAGGGTGTGACCTGGTTTTCCCCTCTTCTAGCTCCAGAGCGGGCCAGGCCAGGGACAGGAAGAGGACAGGAAGGGGGAGGAAAGGCCAGCCTGGCAGGCAGTCCTGTGACCTAGGAGACGCAAGCCCTTATCGCCTCCCTCCATAACTTTCCCCAACCCCCCTTTCAGCCCATTTCTCCCCCTTTCCTTCCACACTGGGGGATCTTGGTTGGACTGCAGCCAACACTCTTGTCCAGTTTTTTTTTTTTTTTCCCTTTTTATCGGTACCAGGGATCGAACTCACGACTACCTGCTTGCAAGGCAGGCACTTATGCCACTGAGCTAAATCCCCAGCCCCTCTTGTCCAGTTTTAAGAACCCACCCAAGATGCCACCCCTGCCCCTTCACAGCTGCATTCTTTGAGATGCCTGGTTTTAATTCTCTCCTTCCTCACCGCCTTCGCTCCTCACCAGAAGCTGGTTCCCACCCCCACTGCTTTATTATCTTGATTTTTGTAAAAGGTGCTAGTGCCCTCCATCCCCTCCATCCGTGGGACACTTCTGCAGTATTATTTGTGTTTTGCATCCCAGGACTCCCTCCTTTGGAGCACCCCTTCCTAGGGATCTCTTTGGCCTTCATGACTAGTGACACTTTCTGGGTTTCTTACCTGTCTGGTGGAACCTTCCTGATTTCCCGTGTGAATGTCTCTCCTTCTTCCCTGAGCAGTAAACCTGCCTTCAGATCTGTTTCCTCTTAGGTCCCCTTTATTCTTCTCAGGGATTGAACCCTGGACCCCCACACTAAGTTACATTCCTTGTATTTTTTAACTTTTTATGTCCCTGAGTTGCCCAGGATAGGTAAACTTACAATCCTACTGCCTCAGCCTCCCAAGCCACTCAGGTGACACGTGTGTGCCCCCGTCCCAGGCTCACTTCTCATGCTCCATAACTACCTGAAGCCATCTTCATCCTTACCTTGCCTTTACCCACTGCCGCTACCCCAGCGTCTCACACATCACAGTCTCTAGTTAGGCTCCCTTTCTTGAGAGTCTTTTTCTAACTCAAAAGCAAAACTTTATTCTCACATAGAAAACAAAACACATCAGTTACATGAATATTAAAATATAAAATGTGATAAATCTCACCAGGAAATTTATAAGACCTATATACAGAAAACTAGAAAACATTAGAGAAACTAAAAATTCCCGGACACATTTTAAGGTGAGGCACTTGAAGATAATGATTTTCTATGAAAACCCAAAAGACTTGAAATCATTAAAACCATTTTGAGGGGCTGGGGACTTAGCTCAGCGGCATAACAGCTGCCTTGCAAGCGCGCAGTCGTGAGTTCCATCTAGTGTATCTCACTTAGGGTATGGGCTCCAGTTAATCCATTTACCTGCAAATGTCTCCAGCTTATCCTCTTTTATTGCTGAATAATACTCCATTATATATTTTTAAAAACCTACATCTTTTTTACCCATTCTTTAGCTGATGGGCATTTGAGCTGTTTCCAAGATTTTGCTATTACGAATTGTGCTGCTATAAACATGGGTGCACTTAGATCACTGTTGTGATCTCTCCTGAGTCTCTCCTGAGACCAAACACTTACGTCCAACTGGCTGCTGGACTCCTCTCCTTGGATGTCTCACAAGCCCAAAAACATCTTCAAAATTGAGTTCCTCATCCAAATAACTTCTCTTCCTTGGCTGGGTGTGCTGGTGCACACCTGTAATCCCAGCACTTAGGAGGCAGGAGGATTGCCATGAGTTTGAGGCCAATCAGGGCTACAAAGTGATTTTCAAACCAATTTGAACTACAGAGACCCTGTCTCAAAAAAAAAAAAAATCCTCCTTGCTGACTGATTCCACCACGTCCTTGTTCACCTAACCATTCCAAAGTGCAGACAAAGTCCCTGAACACCACGCCTGCTGCTCACTCCTCCCTCTCCCGCATCCAGGGGTCACCACGTCCTCCGGATTTTCATCGCTGGTCTCCCTCACATCTCTCCATCTCCCCTCTCCGAGACTCCATCCATTCTCTCACTGCGGAGTCTCTTGCTGGTCTCTCAGCTCTCCGATTTCCCCTGCTCTCCACTCTCCACTTCGTGGAACTAAAAACGTGCTCATCTTCCCCTGGGCATAGCTTTACTGCTGGGCCCTCCCTGGTCTCTTCTGTGTGCCAGGGCCTCTCCTCACCCCTTCGCGGCCTTCTGTCCAACTCTCACTTCCCTGGTAGGTTCTAACTCCGAGTGTCTCCCTCTGGAAAGTCTGGCTTCTCAAGACCACCTTAGGGGTCTGCTGCAGGCACCCAGCCACCGCCCCTTCTCACGAGGCGCACACCCGGGCCTGCCACTGTCCGCACACACTGGCTGCTGGCTGGACACGGGTAGACCTTGAGTCTGATGAATGAATTCATGGACTTTCCTTTAGTTTCTCAAGTGAAAAAAGAACTATCAGGAAATGTGGAGAAAGCGAGGCCGTCAGCATCAGAAGGTCGAGGAGGGTCCCATAGCGAAGCCCCGATGTGGAGGGCGGCCCTGACGCGTCTGGGCTTGTTTTTGGCTTTGGTATTGGGGAATTGAACCCAAGAACTTTGCACTGAGGTACATCTCCAGCCCGTTTTCTGTGCTTTTATTTTGAAATAAGTTTTCACTAAATTGCCCAGGCTGGGCTACAACTTGCAACCTTCCTGATCATTGCTGTGACAGGCATGTACCACTATACTTGGTGAGGCTGTGGGCTTTCCCTGCATCAGTATCAGCTAGAGTTTTCAGTTGTAAATCAGAATATATTCTGGTGGGAGTGGTGGTGCACGCCTGTAACTCAGCACAGGGGTGAGGCAGCAGGTTTGCCATGACCTCAAGGCCAGCCTGGGCTACAGGCAGGACCCTGCCTCAATAGATAATTTCGACTGAAAAAGAAATACATGTGCTTTAAAAAATGCTTTGCTGGGGTAGGTACAACAGCATGTGCCTATAACCTCAGCCGCTTGGTATGCGGAGTCAGGAAGATCGCTTGAGCCCAGGAATGCAAGACACATAATGAGGCCCTGTCTCAAGTCCACAAACGATGAGCTGCCTCACACACTTCCCTAGGCTAGGGAACCAGCGCGGAAACATGCAGCCAGAAACGCGCCCGGAACCAGGCTGTGGAGCCAGCCGGGCGAGCAAAGTGATAGTCTCGTCTATGGCAGCACCCGAGCTCGCACCCTGCAGCTGCTGAACCGGGGGGGCCAGTGTGACAGCTTCCCTGCCGCAGGGCGGAATCCCACTGCCTCTCTTCTTGGTTCCTCTCCCTCTCTCTCTGTCTCTCTGTCTCTGTCTGTCTGTCTGTCTCTCTCTCTCTCTCCAAGACAGGATCTTGCTATGTAGTTCAAGCTGGCCTCGCATTCACTATGCAGCCCAGGCTGGCCTTGAGTTTGTGGTGACCCTCCTGCCTCAGTCACCAAGTGCTGGGACCTGCCTGGTCCACGCTGTGGCTTTATGTGCATGATTTCATTCTCCTTTCCTGTTTTTATTTTTGGTTTTTTGGTCCTCAGGATTGAATCCAAAGCCTTATGCCCCCATAATGCCTTGTTAAAATATTTTTATCATGCTGACTTAAAATTGTTTTCAAATAATTTTGTCTCCATCCTCTGGGTGTTTAAAATTCAGTTTAAGATCACAGGGCCATATGCTTGTAATTCCAGCACTCAGGATGCTGAGGCAGGAAGATTGTCATGAGTTCAAGGCCATCTGAACTACACAGTGGGACCCTGTCTTGAACAAAACAAACAAAATAAAATGCACCTTCCTGGTGAGATGGATGATTTTCAGTGGAAACATAGACGTTTATGTATTACGTTATGAGATTCTGGATTTTATGTAAGCCTTTGTTTTCGCCAGTTTTCTCTGGTACTGCTCTAGCAGGGGAAAGGGAGGTGCTGCCCTGTTACCACCAGGTGGAGAAAGAAGTCCAGGTTCCCCCGGGCGTGGCCGTGTACACCTGGAGTCCCACACGGGGAAGCCGAGGCAGCCAGAGCCAGCCTGGGAAACATATCAAGACCTAATCACTTCAAGATGGAGGAGGGGAAGGGCCTCACGGCGCTGATCCCGAGTCAGAATTAAGGAGTCTCCGCAGGTGGAATAGGTTTCTATCTGACGTTTGTATGGCAAAGCAGTATGCTGGCACGTGGGGTCGCCCTGGCATCTCCTGGGTTCTGAACACGGCTGCCTGCACACTGGTAGCTTCAGCTCTGAACCAATTCCAGGAGGGAAGTTGTGCTTTGCTCTCTCTAGACTGGATTAATTACTGTGTTATAAATTCCACAGCACCCTGTCAAACTTGTTAGAAACTTCATTTTAATGTCTGTCTGTCTCTCTAATGGCAATCTTTGGGACAGCAGACACTCAGAAACCAGCCCCATGCTATGAGGGGCCGTGGGGAGCTGCTCCATGAACTGAGGGGGGATTGAAAACTTTTTTATCTTTTTGGTACCAGGGATTGAACTCATGACCCCATGCTGCCAGGCAGGTGCTTAAGCCACCAAGCTAAATCCCCAGCTAGAGATTGAAAACTTAATAAGTGTCTTGTCTACTCTGCGTCTCATGTCTTGTTTTCATGTATTTTATCTGTCTTTTTATTATAGTTTAACAATGATTCTGCCAAAATACCATTTCTTTACTTGGTGAAAATATGATACTCACCGGCATGGTAGTACAGACCTGTAAATCCAGCACTCAGGAGGCTGAGGCAGGAGGACCGCCATAAGTTTAAGGCCAGCCTGGCATACATAGTGAGTTCAAGGCCAACCTGGGCTACATAGCAAGACCTTATCTTAAAAAAAAAAAAAAAAAGAGAGAGAGAGAGAGAGAGATGGAGAGCGAGACAGAGAGAGAAGTATTTTTCTTTCTTTCCTTCTTTCTTGTTTCTGTGGTGCTAGGAATAAAACCCAGCACGTCACCCATGCTAGGCAAGAACTTGACCACCAAGCAGTATCCTTGAGCCTGAAAAGCTGTCTCTCTTGGAGAATGAACCACCCCTGTGCCCTTACCCAGAAAGGCCATGTGTTTCTGCAAAGCCTGTGCTCACCGTTGTGCACGCTCTACATCCTTTACTTTTGGTACTGGGGACTGAACTCACCACTTCGCATTTGCCAAGCAGGCACTTCAGCCGCTGAGCTAAAGCCCAGCCCGCGAGCACTATACATTCTTGCGGCTCCAGGGCCGTACTCCAGTGCCGTACAGCGTCGCACTCCAGTGCCGTACAGTGCCGTACTCCAGTGCCGTACAGCGCCGTACTCCAGTGCCGTACTCCAGTGCCGTACTCCAGTGCCGTACTCCAGTGCCGTACTCCAGTGCCGTACTCCAGTGCCGTACAGTGCCGTACTCCAGTGTAGTACTTAAATATTTCTTAAATGAATGAATAAAAACATGCCAGGCAGATGACAGTGGGAAGTGCTCTGTGATGTCTTTGAGTAGAAATTCATTTCTCTCTCTCTTTTTCTTTCTTTTAGACAGGGTTTCGCTGTGTAGTCCAGGCTAGCCATGTAGCCCGGGTTGCCCTTGAACTCATGGTGATCCTCCTGCCTCAGCCTCCTCAGAGTGTTGGGGTTACAGGCACACATCACCACGCTTAGCTTGTAGTGTATGTTAATAGCTGGTAATTCCTCCTGCCTTTATTTTTTTCAAAACTGACTCAACTATTCATGGAGCCTTATATTGTCATATTAAAAATAAATGCATTAGCTGGGTGTGGTGGCTCCCAGCACTTGGGAGGCTGAGGCAGGAGGATCATTGCAAGTTGGATACCAGCCTGGGCTACAAAGTGAGCTCAAGGCCATCCTGAACTGCATAGTGAGACCCTGTCTTAAAAAGACAAAAAAAAAAAAAAAATGCATTAAATCTCTAAACATTTGAGGTAAATTAGAAAATTGAAAAAATAAAAAAAATTTGAAAAAAGATCTCTAAACATTTGAAAATATTATTTTAGGGAAAATGGATATCTTTATAATCTGGAGTTAACTCATCAAAACAAAGATCTCTCCATTTATATAAACTCAACTATCAGACTGGACAATTTTTGTTCAATTAAACTTTCAGATTTGGTTGGCATATACAGTTTTGTACATTTATTTTCTAAGTAAACAAGGCCTATGTTTTTATTTTTTTATATTATCAAATGAAATAAAACCTTTAGGAAATTAGTTGGCTTGCCTTTTTATTTTTTTGGAACAATTTGTATAAAATTAATATGAAATCTGTTCTTTAAAAGTTTAACAGACTCAGTTACAAGGAGAAATCTTGGATTGTCATTTCATTACTAGGTGGTGGTTGTTTTGTTTTGTTTTTGTGTTTTTAGACAGGGTCTCTCTGTGCAGTTCAGACTGGCCTTGCGCTCGCTTTTAGCCCAGGCTGGTCTCGAACTTGTAACTGTCCTGCCTTAGTCTCCTGAGTGCTGGGATTACTGGGACGTGTCACCACGCCTGGCTCTACCAGGTATTCTTTGAAATTGTTTCCTTGCTTCATGGATAGGTACTTCCCTGTTTTAGGGTATATGTATATAGTAATACTTCTTTTTAGTTAACAATTTTTTTTAAAAGCCTTGGTATAAAGCAAAGAGAACTTCCCATTTCTGGATTTTTGCTCAGTAAAGCCTTTTGTCACTGTTGGATGATAGGAACAAAGAAATTGTAATCCAGTGTAGGAACCAGCTTTCTCTATATTTAGATCATATGGGGTAAATTAACTTTAATTGCATTTTTTTCTGTTTTTGACACAGGGTGTCACTACATAGTTCAGGCTGTCTGGAACTCATGACAGCCTCCTGCCTTCCAGTCTGGGATTACAGGTGTATGCACCATATTTTTTAAATTGTTTTTACAACTGGGCACCGTGTCCTAAACCTGTGATCCTAGCATTTGAGACACTAAAGTAAGATGGGAATTTGAGATTAGCCTAAACTATAGAATAAGACCCTGTCTCAAAGGAAAACAAAAGTTTGGTTTTATATATCCTTAAATAGAAAGGATCACATGGTCAGAGAAAAAATTAAATCTCTCCATAAAAACTAGTCATGAAATGCAACATGCTAAGTAATTCAAATAACACCAAGATTGCCTTGCAAAGGTATGAGATCGCTGTAAGCTGTAAAACATATGTATCTGCCCTTTATGTTGCTTTTGTTCAAAAGAATAGAACAGAATCACTAATAGTTAACTAAGGACCTGATGTTTTTCCATTGTCAATTTAGAATGTGTGTGTGTGTGTGTGTGTGTGTGTGTGTGTGTGTGTTCTCAGTACCGGGAGTTGAACTCACAACCTTGTGCTTGCCAGGCAGGCGCTTAAGCCACTGAGCTAAACCCCCAGCCCTAGAATGTATTTTTGTAGGAGAAATATTTGTGACAAATAGTTCTACTCTAACAAAGAATATTTAAAGGAAGTATCACTTCATGACCTCACTATAGCATCAAGTGAGCTTTTATAAAGAAAATATGGAAGGGGAAGAAAAAGATGAAACCAGCTGTCATGAATGAAAACTTCACAGAACGTTCCGCGGGTTAATAGCGTGTTCCTTAGTCAGGCATGAGGCTGCACCCCTAGAACCCCACTACGAGGGAGCCGAGGCGGGAAGGTCAAATGTTGAGGCCACCTCGGGCCACATAGATGATAGATAAACATGATGATTGATAGATAAAGAGATAGACAGATGATAGACAGACAGACAGATAAAAGGGCTCCAGGTGTAGCTCAGGGCCTCCTGGGTTTAAACCCGCTACAAATAAAGGACGCGCGTGTACATACGTGCTCCCTCACAGGGAGTGAGAAGGTAACGTGCTAGAAAGGAAAGTAGGACCTGTATTTAGTCTGTATTTTGTGCCCAGTTATCCTTCACAAAGTGGAATGAACTTAACCGCTGGCGTGTCGTGCAGTAGGGACCGGGTGCTTAGTGTGCCCAGGGCCCGGGTGTGATCTCTCACCCCAGAAAATAAACAAAGTCAAACAATGCCAAGCTCTCACCCCTCTGCACAGGCTTCTGCCGTGCTTTTAAACAGTACGACTTCCCTTTTTGTGCCAGGAATCAAACTCATGACCTCGCACTTGCCAGGCAGGCGCTGTGCCACTGAGCTAATCCCCAGTCTACAAAAGTTTAAAATTAAATAGCAGTGTCTCCGTGGACAGAAATACACAGCTCTTCCTTCCACCTGACACGAGCCCGACTGTCCCTTCCTGGCCCGTCCTCCAAGCCACCACTGATCTGGTCTCTGCCCTCCCGGAGCAGCTCCACGTGGTTGTTTCCCAGAAGCCGCGTCGCACGCAGTGTGCTTTCAGGTCAGGCCACCTCCCTAGATTGCTTTGAGGTTCGTGCTATGCATGTTTACGTAATAGGCAGTGTTCCCTTTTATTGGGGTGCTGCTGGAATCAACCTAGGGCCCCCTGCATGTTAGCAAGTGCTCCAGCCCTGCGCCACCCGGCCCTCAGCGTGTGCACCGGTTTACTGCGGTTTATCTGGCATCCTGCGGGAGTGCATTTCTAGCTTTTGGCTGTTATCAATAAATATGTGGGCAAATCTTCTGCAGACATGTGTTTTCCTTTCTCTTGGATAAATACCAGGAACGGAATTCCTAGGTGGGGGGAGGGAATGCTCAACACTGTAAGCAGCTGTCAGCTGTCCTTTTTAAAAAGTGACTTTGGTCTACTGTGAATCCTAGTGGTACAAATACTAACTGTTGGTGATGAGCATAGATCAGAGGAGTGGGAACTCGCATGTCACACTCGCCACCATATATTTGGCTCTTGTATCCCTTTTATTAAGGGATTCCCATCTTATCAAATGATTTGGGAACTGGGAGTTCTTACCAGGTCTTCTTGGACCCTGAACCTCACGCAGACTCCCGGATCAGAGGAACCCTGGTAGCTGAATCCATAGGTGCAACACCTTTATCTCAGTGTCTGGTTTTGTTTCTGTACTGGGATTAAAGTACTCCAGGCTGAGCTGGATCCCTAGACCCACTCATTCCTTTTCCTCTCCTCCCCGCCCCACCCAGCACTGGGACGGAACCTTGCGATGTGCACTGAGCTCGCTATCGCACCAGCCTTTTTAATTAGGGTTTTTAAATTTTTATTATTGATTTATTTTGTGTGCCGGGAATTGCACTGAGGACCTTGCGCCTGCCAGGCAGGCACTGTGACACTGGACTCTATCCCGGTAACCAGCCCTTTTTAAAATTTGTTTTGAGACAGAGCCTCGCTGTGTGGGCCAGGCTGAGCTTGAACTCTATGTAGTTCAAGCTGACCTCCAACTTGTGATGACCTTCCTGCCTCAGCCTCTCAGAGTGCAGGATTATAGGTACGCGCTGCACACCCAGGCTTTTATGTTTTGTTTTAAAATAAACAGAGTCTAACTAAATGATAAGTTGCCCCGCTGAGTGTGGTGACCCTTCAAGGCCAGCACGGACTACACAGCGAGATCCTGTCTCAAAAACCCAGAGTGGAAGTTTTCAATTGCCCAGGTAACCCCAGTGTGCTGGGATTTCAGGTGTGTGTCACCGCGGCCAGCTCCCCAGCTTTTACAAATTACTCACATTGATTATGCAGATTATACGGTGGGCTCCACGATGGCAGATTCACACACGCCCACTACATGCTTCAACCATTTCACCTCCAAAGTCCCCTTTCCCCCACTTTCCCGTGGGGATGATGTCCATCATGTATTTTGATCACACCATCCTGTGAATCACCTGCCCTTTCTTGTCATCTTTTTTAGGGCCCACCTATTTGAGAGAACATGCATTATTTCTTTTGCTGAATCTGGCTTTTTACACAACTTGATTTTTTGCAGAGACACTCATCACAAAAAAGAAAATGTTTGTTTGTTTATGAGACAGGACCTCACTGTGTAGTTCAGGCTGGCCGTGACCTCACTGTGTGTCTCCAGATGGCCTCAAATGCACAGTGATCCTCCCCAGCTTCCCAAGGGCTGGGGTCACAGGCGTGCGGCACTGCACTGGGAAAAATTGGGTTTTTAGTGGTTAAGTATATATACCGTTTGTTCTTTAGCCATTCATCTGTCGATGGGCATAGAGGCTGCCTCTCGTCTATTGTGAATTGTGCTACAATAAACATGCACATGCAGGTATCTATAGTATGCTGACTGAATTTCTTTGGGTATATACCAAGGAATGGGTTTTTGGGCTTTTAGGGTTTGGGGGGGTTTGTTTTCATTTTTGTTTTTGTTTTTGAGACAGAGTCTCGCTATGCAGTTCAAGCTGGCTTTGAGCTCACTTTGTAGCCCAGACTGGCCTCAAACTCACAAGGATCCTCCTGCCTCAGCCTCCCGAGTGCTGGGATTACAGGCATGAGCCACCACGCCCAACTGTTTTGCATTTTTTGGTGGGGAGTTCAGACTGTGTCTTGCTGTGTAGCCCAGGCTGGCCTTGAACTCAGGGCGACCCTCTGGCCTCGGCCTCCTGGGTGCTGGGGTTACAGGTGAGCAGCACCATGCCCAGTTATTGTTAGTGGTTTGAGGAACCTCAGTACTGATTTTCATAGTGGCTGCTTACATTCCCGCCAGCACTGTAGGGGAATGCGTCCTCCAGGCCAGCAAGCATCCTCCTCACTACCAAGTTCCTTCTCTTTCTCTCCCCCACATTTTTATTTCCTTTTTTGGCGGGGAGGTTTTGAGATGGGGTCTCACTATGTAATCCGGGATGACCTTGAATTCATTGTACAGCCCAGGGTGGCTGCAAATTTGCAGCAATTCTCCTGTCTCAGCCTGCGTGCTAGGTTACAGGTGTGCGCACCACGCCCCATTAGGCTTCATTTTGAGCTTCATTTTTTTTTTCCAAATCCATTTTTATTTCAAGGAGAAAAAAAAAAATCTAAAACTTTCAAAATATATCAATCAGGAGGCAACAATGGTACACTGTGTATTGTCATCCCCAAATCATTCATCCGGAGCACAAGCCATCTGCATTCAATTGTCTGAACAATACCGGCACAAATCTTTCCCTTCAGCGAACTCAGAGAAATCAGTAGTGTAACTGATTTTTATGTACATATGCATACACATATACTCTTTCAGCTTGTCACACACTAATAAACCATTACGATAATTTACACAAGTGTCTTTTTATTTCACTAATGAGTGTGGTCTCAGATTGCATCCATTTACCTATAAAAGTCTCCAGTTTATCCTTCTTTATGACCAAGTAGTAATCCACTGTATAAAAATACTTCTTTATAATCTGCTCGTCAGTCGATGGGCATTTAGGTTGTTTCCAAGATCTGGCTATTACAAACTATGCTGCTATGTACATGATTGGGCTTCATTTTGTATTTAATATGGTTATTTTGATAGGTTTTCAATCATCAAATGATTCTGTTTGTTTTTGCTTTTGTTTTCTTGAGACAGGGTCTCACTGTGTGTCCTAGGGTGGGGATGCACTCATAACCCTCCTGTCCCAGCCTCCTGACAGCTCAGATTATGAGTATCTCCACCACACTTGGCTTCATCAAGTGTTTTTTGATAACTAGCTAGGTTTCGTCCTGACAGCATTAATTTAATTAACCTTACTTTCTACATTAATGTAATACTTTATCGTCATTGTATAGCAGGTTCTCACGTTAGGAAAATATTCTGTTTCATGGCTATTAATAGGTAGTTTTCAGGAAAAAAATACATTGTGTATGGCTAGTATGTCTGTTGAAAAAAAGATGTTCATCTCTTAAGAATATAAATCAAAATAATGGTAGTAGTTTTTCCTATCAGTTGGGGAAACAGACCTTTTGATGGATTCTGTCCTGAGAGGCTGTGAGGGAACAGGGGGCCTCACGCTCTACGTTTCTTTCTTTTTTTTTTTTTTTTATCATTACCGGGGATCGAACTCACGACCGCCTGCTTGCAAGGCAGGTGCTTATGCCGCTGAGCTAAATCCCCAGCCCCACGCTCTATGTTTCTGTATAAGTGGGTGCATGATTTGACAAAGATAATCGACAGGCTTTTGGTTTGTTTATTTTGGAGACAAGGTCTCACTGTGTAGTCCAGGCTGACCTCGAACTCTTGGGGGAATCTTTCTGTCTCAGCCTCCCAAGTCCCTGCACTCATCCGCTGTTCTAAAATATACACATGAACCAGCTGGGTACAGCGGCTCACGCCTGTAATCCTAAAACTCTGGGAGGCTCAGGAAGGAGGATCAAAATTCAAGCCCAGCCTGGGCAGCTTAGTAACTTAGTGAGACGCTGACTCAAAATTAAAAAGTGACAAAGCAGCGCTGAGGATGTCCCTGGTGGGAAGGCTCTGGCTTCAGCTTTCGTTGTCATTATTTTTCTGTTGCTGGGAAGATTTACCTGACACAAGTCAAAGGAAGAAATTGGGTTTTTTTTGTCTTTTTCCTTTTTATCGGTACCGGGGATCGAACCCACGACTGCCTGCTTGCAAGGTAGGTGCTTATGCTGCTGAGCTAAATCCCCAGCCCCTGAAAGATTTGTTTTGGCTCACAGATTGTAGAGGTTTAGTCCGTAGTCTGCCCGTCTCCGCAGCAGGGTGGCTTGGCCGAGGAGAAACAGTCCGTGACGTGGTGGGAGCAGCAGAGAGCCAGCGAGGGAGGGAGGACGGGGAGACCGCACCTCCATAATTCATCTCCTTACCCCGGGCTCGCCTCCCAGGATCACAGGTAGCCGTAAGTCCGTGGGAGATCGGTGCCCCGTGAATGCCACACTCCCAGACCCAAGTTCCTCCCAAACCCCCGCTGCAGGCTCAGGAAGTTGGGGGTGGCGGCGTCCAGGTATAAACCCTAACATGGGCACCACAAAATGGGGCGAGGTACTCTTTGGCCCTGCAGGTTTACTGCTAGGAATTTGTCCTGAGGATATGTCTGCAAAAATAGGCCAAAGAGAATGACAAACCTGTTCACTGCTGTAGGGTGAGCAATCACGAAGCCCAGCGTGGTTACAAATTAAATGTGTATCTGGAGGTCATCGGTGGGGCACCCGAGCGGTGGAGTACAGTAGTAGGTACAGTTTAAAGAGAGGCAGCAGGGCGTGGTGGCACACACCTGTAACCCCGGTGCTCGCAGCTGAGGCAGAAGGATCACAAACTGAAACCCGCTCAGAGCAATCTAGTGATTCAGTGAGAGCCCATTTTAAAAATTTCTTTTTTTTCCAGAAACAGGGCCTTACAGTGCAGTCTGGCCTTGAACTCACAAGGATCCTCCTGTCTCAGCCTCCCTCATTCTGGGATCACAAGTCTATTACAAGGCCGCACACAGCCCTATCTCAAAATTTAGAAATGAGGAAAAGGGCTGGAGATGTAGCTGAGTGTGAAGCCTGGACTCAGTTCTCAGTGGCACACACACATGCACACACACATGCACACGCACGCACGCACGTGCAGAAGGATGAGCGAGGCTTATGCTGGTATGGGTCGCTCTCTACACTGTCCTGAGGGACAGCTGTGCGCCTGTTTGTGTGCACACAGGTATACACGTTAGACTGTTGTCTAGAAGGAATTACACAGGCTACTAATCTTTGGGGCAAGGGAAGAGGTAGACAGAGGAATTTTTTGTCTCTATTTTTTTCCTCTCGTGGTAGGCAAGTGACCTGCTGTGGGGCTCCACCCCCAGCCCTTTGTCTGCCCCAGACAGGATTTTTCTGTGTAGCTCAGGCTGGCCTCAAACTTAATCCTCCTTCAGCTGAGCGCTGGAATTTCAGGCACGTGCCACCATGCCCAGCTTCAAAATCTCCCCCTTCACATTTTATTTTATTTTATACAGAATCTTGCTCTGTGGTGCAGGGTGGCCTTGAATTCACTATGTAGCCAGGGTGGCTTTGAATTTGACGCTCATGCCTCAGCCTCCTGAGTGCAGGGATCACAGGCATGTGCCACTGTGTGTGCCACTATGTGTACCACTATGTGTGCCACTGTGTGTGCCAGTATGTGTACCACTATGTGTGCCACTGTGTGTGCCAGTATGTGTACCACAATGTGCAACTAAAACGCTAATATGTTCACCCAGGGAAAGGGGGTTTATTGTAAAGATGCTGAGGGTCCTCGTGTAACCAGAAGACATGTTAGAAACCAGGCTTTAGGAGACAGATGTGTTGGCCGTAGGCCTTTCTGGGATGGGAGGCTGGAAGGCTGCCGCCCTCTCCAGGCTCCGCTTCTGTTTCCCTGTCAGCTGTGTGCTCTCTCACCGCACGTAGGACACCAGGAACCCCAGCTGCCCGGGGCATCTGCGTTTCGTGTCTTATGGCGGCGGGAGAGACTCTGCTCTCCTGAGATCCTGTCTGGGAAAACCGCCGTGAAGCACTTGCCTTGGCCTGGCGTGGGTCGGTGTCCACCAGGACCAATCGGCGCTGGCCAGGGCGGCAGCTCTCTGAGTGGCTCTAGATCCTGTGGGGCACACAGCCGAAGGAGGATTCTCAGTAGGAAGCTAAAGGCTTCACCCATTCCTCTACCTGTGCTCACAGTCGTGTGTGCAGTAGAGGATTTTCAGGCATCAGCAGTGCACCACGTCCCGACACAGCCACCCAGACAGGTCCCAGCCCTCAGCCTGGCCCCGAGAGGGGCAGCCTGGCAGGTGGCCGTCCACCGGCCACTCCTGAACCGTTCTCTGTTCACAAAGAAGGGGCAGCTGTCTGCGTTGCTTGCGCAGGGGACCGCGATCAGACAGCTGGGGTGTCGTCACCGGGAGGGCAGTGACGACCGGGGAACAGCAGCGTGGCCCCAAGCCACCGGCAGCAGCTGCAGCTGTTCCGAGCTGCCGCCCGGAGTCACTGGCGAGGGAGCGGCTTCCTGTTGGCGGAGATCGCTGACTCTGGCTTTCAACTGCTAACCGCAGCCCTGTTTTCCCTATCTGATATTCTCTCCACACTGCTCATTCTGCTGCGTACATAACTTCCTTTCCTTTTTCTTTCTTTGGTCTTTTTGAGACAGGGTTTTGCTATGCAGTTCAGGTTGGCCATCAGCTCTCTCTGTAGGCCAAGCTGGCCTTGAACTCACGGCCTCCTGCTACCTCGGCCTCCTAGATGCTGGGTCTGCAGGCGTGTGCCGCCAGGCCGGCTTCAGGGGGATTTTTAATGTCCTGGTTCGCTGTTTGCATTTTTCAAGGGTTTGTCTCTGCTGTGCTGGCGTTCATGGTTTCCATCATTTTCCTAAACTCTCTTTTAACATCTGTATCTGCCCTGGAGTCACTCGCGGTGCCTTTCGCCGTGGCCGCCCTCTCTGTAGTTAGCTGGGAAATTACTTTGGACCTGGCTTTCCTCTAGAGCCCCACTCACCTGCTGCTGCTGCTCCGGCTGCCACCCCTTCCGGAGCGCAGGTGGGGACCTCCGAATCACTGGGCCTCTTGACCTGCCAGGTTTGCTTTGGGTGAGCTGGAAGTCTCATTTTCTATCTTTTTAAATTGCAGTTTAATTCCTGGGCTGATGCTTGTAAATTGCCTGTGGCGGGTAACTCTACAGCTACTGCTTCTGAGATGCCTTCTCCGCAGGGGTGTGGCCAGCTGTTGGGTTTTCAGTCTGGTGCAAGTTCCTTCCTCTCCCATCTACCGGGGGTAAGAAGCTGCTCCCCGCCTCGCCCAGCCCCTGGTGCCCTGGCGCTGGCCTGGTGTGGTTCATCACCCTTCGGTGGGCTCGGCCATGCCATCCCAGGAGTCACAATGACAATGGCACCACACACGGGCAGACTCGGTGACTGGTAATTTGCCACCTTTGCCCATATGAACTAGATTGGCGGTCATATAACAAAATCTAAAACAACCCAGAGACTGTACATAGTACATACGCCCTCGGCATGGTGATTTTACCCTGAGGGGAGCAAGTTGAAAAGGGGTGGTGGGGCGGGGGGGAAGCAGAGCAACAGAAGAGGAGGAGATCAGAAGCCAGGCGGAGGACGAGGCAGACTGAGAACATTTTGGGAACCTGGTGAAGGAGACCGGTGAGAAAGAGAGAAAGGAGAAATAAAAACAAGCAAGGAACAACGTCAGCAACCTGGGAACAGCTCAGATAAAACGAGAACACGATCAAGAAAAAAGAAAACAAAAACAAAAGAAGAAAAGGACACAATGTTCACTTGAAGGCACATGTGCTGTCACTGGGAGGCACAGAGGTCGGCCAGGGTCCAGGTCCGCGCTGATGCGCACAGCGCCAGGGGCAGGTCCAGCGCAGGGGAGTGTGCCCGGGGAGCCCGCACCTCTGGTGCTCTGGAGTTCAGGCTGGATTCTGACCCGAAGGCGGGAGTCGGCCGGCCGCACTGCTCCTGTGCCTCCTGCCGGGGGAGCCTGGCTCCCTGCCGCCTTGAACTCAGCTCCTGCGCTTTGCACTTTGAACCGGCCTCCACCTCCCCTGACCTGGAGCCAGCCCACAGCGCCTCAGAGCTCTGAGCTCCGCTGGTCCCTGGCCAAGGCGGCCACCAGCCTGTCGCCCGGTGCTGGGGCTGACCCTGAACAGCTCACCGGGCGCTGGAGGCCTCTGTGTCCCCTGTGCCCCGGGTCCCCTGCAGGTACCGTGAGCTCCCAGCGCGGTGAGCCGGGCTCAGCGGGGAGCGGGGCTGGCACCTCGCTCGCATTTTCAAGTCTCTGCCGTCCTCGGGGGCTTGCGTCTCACTTCCCAGCTTGCCGGGTCCTGAGGTTCCCTTCCCTCCTCCTTTCCTTCCCTCTTTCCTTTCTTTCTTTTTCTGGTACACTGTGTTTATTAAGATGGAGTGTAATGCATCATGGGTCATTACCCACTCCTAACAGTTTCCAGAAAGCTTTTTAAGACACCAAGCACATTTATGAAGGCAGTTATGAACCATCCTATCTTTCCATAAGAAATTTAAAATAAGAGAATAAACCCAAAAATGAATAGAAGAAAATAATAAAGACCAGAAAACACAATCCCTTATCAAAATGCCAACATCGTTTTTCATAAAAATTAACATTTTGATTCTTACATTTCTGTAGAAATACAAGACTCAGAATAGTCTAAACAACTTTGATAAAGGAACAAAATTAGAGCTCCAGCTCTCCCCAATCCCACGACTTATCTCAAAGTTACACCAATCATGACAAACCACCAGGGTACCAATATAAATACCCATGTAACAGACAATTGACTTCTGGCAAAGATGCAAAAGCAATTAAGTGGAGAAAGGATTTCATCTTCAATAAATATACTGGAACAACTGGATAGCCACAGGCAAAAAGCCCAAACCTTATAGCGCATCTAAAATTTCTGAAGACATCCAAAAATCAACTCAAAATCGCTCACGGTGGGTTAGTTAAAATGAGGGCAGGTGTGGGCTGAGTTGTTTTGAGTGAAGTCATTTTCTCTGGGACAAAATAATGTTTTTTCTTTCAGCATGTCACACTAATGAAACAATATGATGTTTATACATGAGTGACATTTATTTCACTAATATATATGCATCCAAAGCACATCCATTTACCTATAAAAATGTCGTTTATCATTCCTTATGGCTGAGTAGTATTCCACTGTAAAGAAATACCACATCTTTCTTATCCATTCCTCAGTTGATGGGCATTTAGGTTTTTCATGGGCATTTAGGTTTTTTCCAAGACTTGTCTAATATAAACTATGCTGCTATATACATGGGTATAGTATCATTGTGGTATGTTTTTAATTTTGTCTTTTTGAGACAGAGTCTTGCTATGCAGTTTAGGCTGGTCTTGGGCTCACTTTGTAGCCCAGACTGGTCTCCAACATAATGATCCTCCTGCCTCAGGCTCCGAGTGCTGGGATTACAGGCATGCATTACCACACCTGGCATGTTTTTCTTTTGGGAAGATACCCAGAAGGGGCCTAACTGGGTTGAATGGGACCTCCAATCCTGGTTTTGGGGGTTTTTTGGTACCGGGGAATTGAACTCATGACCTTGCACTTGCAAGGCAGGTGCTTATGCTGTTGAGCTAGATCCCCAGCCCCTAATCCTAGTTTGTTGAGGAATCTCCACACTGATTTCTACAATGGTTGTGCCAGTCTGCACTCCCACCAACAGTGGAGAAGGGCTTCTTTCCCCCACAACCCCTCCAGCATTTGTTATTGCCTGATTTCTTGATGGCAGCCATTCTTTCTGGGGTGAGCTGGAATCTCAGGGCTGTTTTAATATGCATTTCTCAAATGACCAGTGATGGTGAACATTTCTTCACATGTTTGCCATTTGTATATCTTCATCTGAGAAGTGTGTGTTTGTCTCAGATGTCCATTTTTTGATTGGGTCTTTAAATCTGGGAGGACTGACTTTTTTGAGTTCTTTATACATTCTCAATAATAATCCTTTGTCTAAGGAACTGCTGGCAAACTTTCTCTCTCACATTGGGGCTGGCTCTTCACTCTGGTGGTGGTTTCTCTTGCTGTGCAAAAGCTTTTCAGTAGGATGACATCCAATTGTTGATCCTTTGTGATAGTTCCCATGCACTCTGGGTTTTATTCATGCAGTCTTTGCCTGCACCCTCCTCATTTCCTTGACAATGCTATATTTCAGTGTCTGGACACTACATCGGTTGTTTTGAGATCAGGTTTCACTATGCGGTTCGGACTGCCTTCACCTCTTTGTAGCTCACACTGGCAGTAATTCTCCTGCCTCAGCCTCCTAAGCGCTGTATTAGGGTGTATGTCACCTCACCTGACTCGCATCCCCCGTCTTTTTAAGACAGGGTCTCACTGTGCAGTTTGGGCTGGTCTTGGGCTCACTTTGTAGCCCAGGCTGGTCTCGAACTCGCAACGATCCTCCTGCCTCAGCCTCCCGAGTGCTGGGATTACAGGTGTGAGCCACCATGCCCGGCTTGCATCCCGTCTTTAGGGTGATAGGCCAAAGACAATGGAAGTTGGGGGTGTTATAAGGAAATGAGGTGTAAGGGATAGAAAGTGCGTATTCTGCCGGGCATGGTGGTGGTGGACCCCTACCGTCCCTGCCCGTGGGAGGCTGAGGTGGGAGGATTGCTCAGTTTGAGGCCAGCAGCTTCTTTAAGCTATGGATTCACAGCACCCCGGCTCTCCCGACTTCCTAAATCAGTTTTCTTTGCCAGATGACCAGTGAGAGCGGTTCAAGACTTTAAGCAGCAGGACCAGTTGAGGTGCAGGCCCTTTGGACAGCGGGTTGGGGAGGGCAGCACTATCATCAATGGCCACAAGGTGGCAGCAGGGAACAGCATAGGGAAACAAGCCTGGCAAGGGTCAGACCAGACAGGCAGACCTGGGGACCCGGCTATGGCAGGAAGTGGGGGACCTGCATTGCACAGCAGGACCTTATTTGCCAGCTGGCGCCTGTGATCCTGCGAGTGCTGCTTTCAGTATCAGGTAGCTGTGGAGTTTCCTCTTCACCGGACTCTGCTGACAGGAACGGCGTCAGCGTGGCCATGGGCAGGCTGTGGGTGGTGACAGGGACAGTGTGTTTCACATGGGTGAGTATGGAAGCCAAGGAGCGTCCGCCTCCATAGACATGGTCATCAAGCAGTCTTGCCGTAAAGTGCAGCTGACTCAAAGGGCACCACCGGCGTGTGTGGAAAGCACATCCCTGTGCCTGCTGGGGCGTGTCTCCAGGTGCTGTCCGGAGCCCGTATCTCTTAGAGAGAGTGGGTCTGCAGCTGGGCAGCTGGCTGAAGACTGGGCAAAGGATGCTGGGACGGGGTGTGGGCCGAGAGCCCAGGATGGGGCAGCTGCCTCAGCCACAGCAGGGGCGGACAGGAGGATTAGGTGACAGTCCCCTTCCCAGCCCGGAACTAACGCCCTCCTCCCCGGCACACAGGCACCCAAGTGAGCCAGAGCTCAGAATAACTCAGAGAAGCGGACAGCAGGATGACAGGGGCTCTGCTGGGCGTCCTGTTCCTCTTGGGGTTGCTTGGTAGGAACAGGGTTGGGGAGGCAAGTGGACAGATGCCCGTGTGAGGGGAGAGGGAGTCCAGACACGGACTGAGCACTGGGTATTTAGTCCTGAGCCACAGTGCTGCTGGCTCGGGAGACAGATGCAGAGAGACTCAGCCCCGGAACCTGTGGCCATCTGGAGGGGAGGAGAGGGCCCTACCCCGTCCTGTCCAGCATCTTCTCTCCTGACCCCACCGCAGGCAGAGGGCAGACCAAGAACCAGGAGCTGAGTCTTTATCACCATCTCTTCGACAACTATGACCCAGAATGCCGGCCAGTGAGGGGGCCGGAGGACACGGTCACCGTCAGCCTCAAGGTCACCCTGACCAACCTCATCTCCCTGGTGAGTGCCTCCCCGCCCGAGCCCAGCCCCACTCCTGGCCCCAGCTGAGCGCTGCTCCAGTGTGCACTTCTGGCCCTGAAGTAACCTCTCTGCTGCAGAACGAGAAGGAGGAGACCCTCACCACCAACGTGTGGATTGGGATCGTGAGTGTAATCCGGGGGCATGGGCCCTGAGCCTCCCCTCCAGGCACCTCCTGAACATCCCCACAGGAAGGCCCTCCCTCCGTCCCCCCTTCTCAGGACTGGCAGGATTACCGACTCAACTACAGCAAGGACGACTTCGGGGGTGTGGAATCCCTGAGGGTCCCTTCCAACCACGTGTGGCTACCAGAGATCGTGCTGGAAAACAAGTGAGGGCCGGCGGTCTGAGTGCCAGGCTGCTTTCTGGGCAGCCAGCCCGGGGAGGGGGGGGGGGGCTGGACGCTCAGTCTGCCTGGACGCGGTTCGGTGGACCTGTTGTGAGATAACTCGGTTTTTTGAGCCCACAGTATTGACGGTCAGTTCGACGTGGCCTACGATGCCAACGTGCTGATCTACGAGGGCGGCTACGTGACCTGGCTGCCCCCCGCCATTTACCGCAGCACCTGCGCCGTGGAAGTCACCTACTTCCCCTTCGACTGGCAGAACTGCTCGCTCGTCTTCCGGTGGGAGGGTTACTCGGCGCCCCCTCCTCATCGTGGGGGGCCTGGCGGGGGCTGGCCAGACAGGGACGCGACCTCCGCACCGCAGCTGGTGTTCAAGGTCGGCCTCAGTCCCGGCTGCAGGGAGGCTGAGTCAGGAGGAGCGCTGGGCCGGGCGTGGGAGACAAGCCTGGGCAAGGCGGCCAGAGCCGTCTCAATAACGGCAGGAAGGGCTGGGATGAGACTCGGACCCAGGATCACGAGAAACAAGACACGGAGTAGGGAGGGAGTTAAGGTGCGCAGACAGGACCAGGGCAGAGGGTGGGGCCTTCGCAGGTGCAAGCTGCCGGGTGGCCGTCCTGCTTCCTTCACAGCTCGCAGACTTACAGCGCCAAAGAAGTGGAGTTCGTCTTCGCTGTGGACGACAGCGGCGACCCCATCGACAAGATCGACATCGACACCGAGGCCTTCACTGGTGACAGCTCCCCCCTGCCCTGCCCTCCCGGCCCTGCCCGAAGCGCCGGCTGGCAGGGTCCCGCTCAGGGGCTCAGGGGCGGGCCGCCCGCTCTCACTAGCACACACGCAGCCTGGCTGTCAGCGGCCCAGCTGCCCGCCAGTCGGTCTCCTCGCTGGGGCCTTCCCCACACCCGCCCCGGGACGCCCCTTCCACCGCATCCCCACCCCGCCGGGCCTGGAGGGCCAGCAGGGGGCGCCCCGGCCGACCGCGCCTCCCTCCGCAGAGAACGGCGAGTGGGCCATCGACTTCTGCCCGGGGGCGATCCGCCACCACCGGGGCGGCGCTGCGCACCCCCAGGGGGAGACGCACGTGGTCTACACGCTCATCATCCGCCGCAAGCCGCTCTTCTACGTCATCAACATCATCGTGCCCTGCGTCCTCATTTCCGGCCTGGTGGTGCTGGCCTACTTCCTGCCGGCGCAGGGTGAGCGCGAGCCCGCGCCCGCACTGGGTCCCGCCCCGCGAGTCGGGGCTGCTCTCACTGGGGGTTCTCTCTAGCTGGTGGCCAGAAATGCACCGTCTCTATCAACGTCCTGCTGGCCCAGACTGTCTTCTTGTTCCTAATTGCTCAGAAAACCCCAGAGACATCTCTGAGCGTGCCGCTGTTGGGCAAGTGAGGACAGAGTGGGTGTCGGGGTCACCAGCTCGGGGGCGGGGCCACCAGCTCGGGGGTGGGGCCACCAGCTGGGGGCGGGGCCAGGTGGGCTGGGGGCGGGGACAGGGAGTGGCCAGGGGGCGTGGCCAGAGCCCAGCGCCTCTAGGAGAAATTTCGGCTGTTTCCACCCCGGTGGACTTTATTTAGACACGGGTGGAGCAGGGTGATGATGGGTGCTCTGGTCCCGTGTCCTCCTCACTGCTGCTGGATACCATCTTGAGGTCTCCTGAGTGTCTCTGTTGGGGGACAGTCCGGCTCAGTTTCCTCAGCCCCATCTTTAGCCCCCAAAGGACATGGCCTCCGTCCCAAACTCACTGGCTCCCCGGGAATTTCAAGGCCCAGCTGGCATCGCCACTGCTGCAGGAATGAAGTGAACTCCTGCAGACTCCGGCCACACAGGCACAGCCACACCCCCTGGACCAGGAGCCTGGCGCCCCAGCCAGCAGCAGCCCTGGCTTGCAAAGCCCCATGCTGGGCAGCCCGAGCCACCCGGGCCAGGGCTCCGCCCGGGTCTCCGGCGTCTGCGGTTGGGTCTAGGCTGCTGTTGCTGCCGTCCAGTGCTGGCACACCTTGCTGTAGCCAAAGGGCTGATATCTGCATTGGGGTACAGGGCTAGTTAGTGTGCGGGTCAGTATCCCGCGGCCCTCTGCCCTGGCCTGTTTTCTCCGCACAGTGCCTCACACACACACACACCCCCAGAGCCCCCCACCTCTAACAAGGTGGCGCTGAAGCTCCCGAGGCTGGCGGCCGCTTCTCTTAGCACCAGCCCTAGGCTGGGCTCCTTGGTCTCCTGCAGCTTCAGGGACTTCAGCTCTCTGAACCTGTGCTCCAGATACTCATGGGCTGCAGCCACCGCCAGTTCCAGGGAAGATAGAATTGGGGGCTGCAGCGCCACCTGGAGGAGGAGCAGGGCGGTGGACTTGTGGGTCCAGCGCAGGGGCAGGAGGAGGGGCCTCCCCAGAGGTCCTCCGATGCTGCTCTTCGAGGAGCCTCACCTCAGTGGAGCTGTGATAGTGGAAGACCCACAGCAGGGTGTCCAGGGAGCTGGGGGTCCCCTTCATGGCCGCCGCAGGTGGTGGGAGGGGTGGAAGGGTCGGAGCGGCTGGGGCGGATCCCCACCGCCTGGCCAAGAGGTGTTTGTGAGGTCAGAGCAGCAGCTGGAGGCAGAGGGCGGTGGTGGTGTCAGAGGAGCCAGGCGCTGTGGTCACGCGCCCCGGGTCCTCAGATACCTCATTTTCGTCATGGTGGTCGCCACGCTCATTGTCATGAACTGCGTGATTGTGCTCAACGTGTCTCTGCGGACGCCCACCACTCACGTCACGTCCCCGCGGCTGCGCCACGTGAGGCTGGGGCTGGGGCGGGGCAGCCGGGCGGACCTAGGGGACCCTGGGCGGGGCGGGGCTTAGAGCTGGCCCCGCCCCCAGGTTTTACTGGAGCTGCTGCCGGGCCTCCTGGGCTCGGCGCCGCCCTCCGAGGCTGCCAGAGCTCCAGCGCCCCCCAGGCGGGCGTCCTCCGTGGGCATACTGCTCCGCGCGGAGGAGCTGATCCTGAAAAAGCCGCGCAGCGAGCTCGTGTTCGAAGGGCAGAGGCACCGGCACGGGGCCTGGACGGGTGAGCACCGACCTGAGCAGCAGACCGGGCATCCGCCGCGGGGGCCGCTCGGAATGACCCGGCCCCGTCGCCCCACCAGCTGCCCTGTGCCAGAGCCTGAGCCTCGCGGCCCCCGAGATCCGCTGCTGTGTGGATGCTGTGAACTTCGTGGCCGAGAGCACGCGGGACCAGGAGACGATCAGCGAGGTGGGTTAGGAGCCAGCGGACTCTGCCGGGCACCACAGCCACCCGCCCGGGGACTCAGCCGTGCCTCTCTTCCAGGAGGTGTCCGACTGGGTGCGCATGGGCAAGGCCCTTGACAACGTCTGCTTCTGGGCCGCCCTGGTGCTCTTCAGCGTGGGCTCCGGCCTCATCTTCCTCGGGGGCTACTTCAATCAAGTGCCCGCGCTGCCGTACCCGCCCTGCATCCAGCCGTGAACCGGGCTGCAGGCCGCACTCCCGCCCACACTGGCAGGACATGGGGTTTGAGAAACAAGCTGCTGCCCCTGAGCACCGGCTTCTCCCCCTGCTGACAATGAACTCTACGAACTTCCAGTGGGGCTTGAGCGTGCACATGCGGGCTGGCGTGGCCGCGTGCTGGGGTCAGAAGCCCGAGCCAGGGGACCCTCCGCCCGAATCCTCAGAGAGCGGAGCTTCGCTGCTCCCCTCCCTCCCCGCTGCTCCTGGCCTTTTCCTGGAGATGGGGTCTCACCGCGTAGCTACGCTTGCTGGCCTTGAATGCACTGTGTAGCCCAGGCTTGCCTTTAGCTCTTACTGCCTCAGTCTTTAACTGCTGGGATTATAAACTCTCTAGGTCTGTGAGCTTCTAGACAATGTTATCCAGGGAAATCTTTGTTTCCCTAGTTGGGTTCTGCTGTGTGGGCTGGGCCATATACCTTCAAGGAGACCCACAGGGTTAGGGCTGACCATACTGGGCCCCTGGAAAGTCTCCTAGGTGTTCCTAGCTCCTCGGCCCACCCGGCAATAGTCAGCTACCAGGTTCCACATCCTTCACCCCCATTCTAAATCTGCAGGCTCTCTGGCCAGCAGCCAGGGTGGTGAGAGAGACAGAATCATCTAGGGCCTGAGATGGAGCTGGTTGAACTGTCTTTATTAACAAACGGGATGTCCAAGGCCACTACATTGAGGAGGGGCAGGGCGGGAGGAGAGGTTACCTGCTGCTCTCACTATGTACAGATGCAAGCAAGGGGCGTGGAGGTGAGAGCACCCGCTCCCTCCCTCCACCAGGGCAGGGGAGAGGCTATGACGGACAGGGGCTGGGAAGGGGGAATGTTTTGGTTGATGGGGTCCCCCCTCCATTCCCTGGGGTTTGAAGGGGAAAGGAATCATTAAAGTGCTTTCAGAAAATGAGGAAATGGTCCCTGCCCCTGGAGTGGCTGGTGACCCCACCTTAGAACTTAGGGCCCAGTGACCCCCCCAGAGTCTGGTACATTCAAGGGGGGAGCCGGCTCCCCTGACGTGCAAATAAAGGGGTCCAGGGCCCTGCCCAGTCAGCAGCAGTGGGGAAAGGGGTCTGAGCCCCAAGCACTCTCCTAAGTGGAGAAAGGGCAAGAGAAGGCCCACTCTACTCCTGGTAAGAAGCTGTACCCCTCCCAGAAGTTGGGGGGAGAGGCACAGTTTAAGGGAGAGAACATGGTGGGGGAAGGATGGTCACATGATCACAAAAGCATGGGAGGGGTCAGAGGTCATGTTCCCAGCAGGCTCCAGTGAATCAAACCAATAAAAGCAAAAGCCCAGGGAGGAGCATGGAACAGCTGGGGAAGTCCGCTGCAGGAGCTGGTCCAGTGTAGGCGGCCCCAGCCCGGCCATCACCAATTCATAATGCAGTTACGGTTCAGGGTCATGAAGTAAACTTGGCTGCTACCCCCAGAGCGGACAGAGGCAAAAAATACCTGGGTGGGAAGGAAAAAAGTCACCAAGGACGGGGTCCAGGCTGAGGGCTCAGTTAACTAGAATGTGTGGGACCCTGAGTGATCACCACCACAAGAAGGCCAGACAGACTGACTGCAGAGTGGCCTCGCCCGCCCCCCCCCCCCGGAAGACAGGAGCTGTGCTGCCAGATTTCTGGGGTGGAGGCAGCTCAGAGCCAGAGGAGGAGCAGGAGGACACAGTCGGATTCCAGGGGCCTGATTTTTAAGGAGACAGCACAGCCTCCCAGATCCCTGCCTAGCAGCGAGCCTGGCGGGGGCTCGGGAGAGAACTCCCACCTTGTCATTCCGCTCGCACAGGAACTTGAGCCTCTGGGCCCGTTTGTGCATGAAGACCCCGTCTAGGTGTCCCGTCTCCACGGAGCGGATCTCGATGGCTTTCTCACCCCAGCCCATTATCTGGTTGGAGCAGATGTAGGCTGCGGGGAGACCGAGAGAGGCTGAGTGTCGCGGCGTCCGTGCCCCGCTCCCCCCGGGTGGCGGCTGGGCAGAGGGCAGCCCTCTCTCACCCACGGAGGTGGGCATCTCTCCCCACTGCAGCACCACGTCTTTGATGATCCGCCCGTAGGTGTTGACGTAGACGCCTTCATCTTCGTAGCACAGCAGCATCTCCATGCCGTCGGTGTTGGGCAGGAAGATGATGGCGTGGGGCGTGATCTGGCACTGGATCTGGGGGGAGACGGGCGCTGGTACCCGGGCCTGGGGTCTAGACTCTGAGTTCCCGTTCTCCCGTGGCCCTGCCAAGCTCACGTGCACAGGGATGTAGATGTCGTAGCTGTTGCCCGAGTCAACATCGACGGCATGGAAGCCAGCACTGGAGCCATAGATGACCTTAAGCCGCTGTCCCTCCTCCACTGTCAGGTCGACCAGCAGAGGGCGGTGCGGGAGGTCAGCAAAAGACTGGACAAGAGAAGAAAGAGCTCAGTGGGCGGTGGCGGACACAGACCTCAACCCCCGGGGTGGGCTGGGGTTACCTTGAAGGCCATGAATTTGTGGTAGGGCTTGGGGGCCCAGGCATACACCTCCACAGAGTTCTTCAGGGCAATGACCAGGAACTTGATACGCTCATATTTCACTGGGGCAAGAGGGAGGCAGACTTCAGGGCTCCCCGGGAGGCGTCCAGGTCGCCCGCCACCTTGCTGCCCATGTCTGGCTCTGAAGCTTCCCTGGCATCTACCCTGGTCCCGTTTCTCGTAGGCCACCCTGTGTGGCACCCTCACCGACTCGGTAGTGTCCACAGCCCTCCATGTCCCCCACGGTGGTCCAGCCCTGCTTCTTCTCCACCTCTGGGTCGTTGTGCAGGATCTTGTTCCGGAGCCAGGACAGGTAATACACCCGCAGTTTGTTCCTTTTCCCTGAGGGGTGGACACACATCCACTCTCCTGGCCTCTCTGGAGGCCTTGGGGCTGCCTTTCACCATCCTGGCTGCACGACGGGCGAGTACAGCTGTGTAGCCCCGGACCAAGGCCGCCTTCCTCCCAGGCTGCCACCGCGACAGAGCCTGGGAGCCGCACGCACGCACGCACACACACACCTGAGATGGTGATGAGCAAGTTGAGCCCTTCCAGTACATCCATCTGTTGGAAGCGTCGCCGCCCAATGAGCCCGTACACCTTGCCCTGCCCGCTTCGGTCCAGCAGCATCAGCCCGTTCTCCGTCCCCACTAGCAGGTTGACCCCTGCAAAAGCAGCCCACGCGCAGGTCAGGCACAGAGCCAGGCGCTCGCCTCAACAGGAGCATGGGATCACACCCAGCTGCCTCTCCACCCACTGGCCCCGCTCACCCCAAAGGGCTGCACAGAGGATCTCGGAATTGAATCGCTTCTTGTACTTCCGAATCTCGGGAGTCTCACTGTGAGCCCGGGTGTTGGTGGGGTTCACGTTGACCACAGAGCCCTTCCTCACATCATACTGCAGCTGGTCCAGGCGAGCTCCCTCGCCACCCACCAGAGCTGCCGGCAGGAAGAGAAGGCGGGTGGGCTGCAGCAGACGCCCAAGTCTGTCTTCACCTCAGTGCCCCAGTCTGGTCTTGGCACCTCACGATACTCATGAGGGACAGAAGGATGCAGAACAGGGAGGGTGCATGGCAGAGAGTGAAGGCCCTGCTCAAGTGCTAGCTGTGCTGACCAGCTTCAAACCTCTGCTCAGGCATCGTGGCCACTTGCAGGCTCTGTCTCGCTCCTGTGTCAGGGGAGCCCAGAAACCCTCCCTTGCCTTTGTGCAGGGAGGAGCCAGGGCTGAAAGGAGGAGGCCTGTACTGCGCTGTGTGGAGCTATGGCCTCAGAGTCACCTGTGCCCTCCTCCGGATCTGCCGGGGACCTTCGCCTCAGAGGCGATCCTTGGTCCTGCCTTACCTGTGATGGGGATGGTATCCCCGCTGCCTCCAGGCTGGTAGATTCCTAGGTCCACAAACATGGTGAAGGAGCTCTTGCCAGGGGCCTTTACCAGCCCACGGGATTGGTACTGCGGGGAAGAGCAGGGGTCAGGCAAACAAGGGTGACCTCGGACCACAGCCCAGCCATCCTAGGCCCCACCGAGAAGTTCACGGTGCTCTGCTCCCCATACCGCAGTGCCCCAACACCCTGCTCTCCTGTACACTCCAGGGGACCTCCCCCACCCCGGAGACCTGCTCCAGCCCACTTACATCACTGCCGCCATCCTTTGAGGGGGGACTCTGGCCTTTGCTGCTCTCAGTGGGGGAGTGGCTGGGCTGGACCACGTCTGGAAGGTTCGTGTAGCCGTTGCTGTCAGCATGCAACAGGCTGCGTTCCTCCTCGGGAGTCTGCAGAACAGAGTCGGGTCGGCACCGGGGCGGGGTCTGCCCCAGGCACAGGGGAGGCGGCAGGCCCACTCACCCGCTGGACCACCATGGTGCCGCCCCCGTATGGGGGCTGGGTCCCAGCTATTTCCTCCACGTCGTGAACCACCATGGTGCTGACACTGTCTGTGTCTCCATCGCTGCTGTGGAGAGAGGAAGGTAGGGCCTTCTAGGGCCTGCCACTCAGGTGCCACAGGTGCAGCTCACAGCCACAGGCCCGGGCTTCCAGGCTCTCCAAAACACAAGTGCTCAGGCCGGGGAGTTAGCTCAGTGGCACAAGTGCCTGCCGGCAAGTGCAAGATATGAGTTCGATCTCAGGCACCAAAACAACAGCAAAACCAGAACCCAGGAGCTCGGCCCTCACGGGTGCTGCCTGCATCACACTCTCGGCAGGGAGCGCCGGAGCTGCCCCCGTGACCGGGACTGATGGGAACCGCGGGACGAGTGGGGATCACAGTCCGTCAGACAGGCCCGAGTCCTGATACCTCACCCCGGCCCTGCCCCAGCCCTGCCCAGGAGCTCCGTACCGGCCCCCAGGGGTGTCTCTGCTGCCCTCCGATGGTTCACCATCGCCCTCCTCCTCCTCGTCATCGCTGCTCTCCACCTCCTCACTGGAGGACGAGTAGTCCATGGCCTTCTTGGGTGGCCGGGGGGCCTCATCCAAGTTTCGCTCCTTCAGCAGCACAAAATCCTGCAGGAAGAGCCGGGCATGAGGGAGGGCACGAGGGGCTGGACAGGCAGTAGCAAGGGCGCCCGCAGGCCTGGGCAGGGAACGGGACCTGTCTCACTGACCTCACCAATCGCTCGCTTATAGCTCTGGGAGGGGCCGCAAGGCAAGGAGGGCAGCCAGGAGGCGGCAGGAGAGAGGGCAGAAAGGTTAGTAACAGAGGCGCTGCCCAGGAGCCCCACGGTGCTTCCGCACACGGATTAGTGAAGGCCCACCCGACACCACAGCACAGCCTGTGGGCCCCCCCCTCCCCCCAGCTCAAAGGCTAGCTGAACACCAAACCAGGTAAGGCCGGGCCACACCCGCCACCAGATGACTCACTGCGGGTCGGCCTGGCCGGGAACGGTGGTCATCAGGCTTGGTTTTGTTCCCAGGGGAGAGCACGGGGGAGCTGTCCAGTTTGGTGGAGGCTGGACCGAGCAGGGTAGGAGAAGGGAGGTCACTGATACCTGGACGGAAGATGGCCCCAAGCCTACACCTGAGCTGACCTGTGGCCCCGAGCCCAGAGTTCAGCACTGCTCCGTGCCACCCCACTCCCCTGTGCCTCTCTAGGTATCCCACGGCAAAGCCACCAGAGGCGGGGTCCAGGCCGACCGAGACCGCAGTCAGACTGGGGCAGACAGCAGAGTCCCGGCTCCCGTACCTCCCACACGGCTTCGATTTCGCTCCAGGGAGCCAGCCTGGGGGAGACGCCCATGTGCGGCCGGGAGGACGCTGTCGGAGTGCTCCCAGCCAGAGTCGCTCCTCCTGAGGTCCGGGTTACTGTGGAGGGTCAAAGTCAGCATCAGGCAGACAGCTGCTGTCTTCCCTGGGCTTCGAGAGTCACTGCAGAGGGAGCCATCACCAGGGGAAGCAGGTCTCGGAAGTGAGAGGCGGGAATGAGCATGGGGACAACTCCATTACCTAGAGGCGTTGGGCGGGCCAGGGGGCTGAGCAGGGGGCCCTGGAGGCTTGGGGGTGCCCCGCTCTGCCCGCCTTTGCAGATAGATTTGCCAGGCGGAGTTGCTGCGAGGTCTGTGGAGGGAGCACAGGGTACGGGGAGGGGCCGGGAGGGCTGAGGCCACGGGGCTGGGCTGGCTCACCCTACACAGGTAACGGGGAAGTCCCCCACTCCCTTACTCTCTAGGCTGCTGCCAGCCCCAGCCCAGGATTACCTGGCGCGGACAGCCTGAGCTGGCCGGGGCCCTCCGGCCCCACTGGTATTAAGGGCAGTGGCAATAGATGAGGTCCTCTGAGGCACCTGGAAAGGGCAGAAAAAGCGGCTGGCATGCATCGTGTCCTCTCCACTCCGAGGTGGGCTTCCCTACTGTATGATAAGCAAACCGACATTCAGCGAGGTTGGTGAACATGTGCAGGTTACGAAGCTGGGACCTGACAGAGCAGAGATTCTACCCCAGGAAGGCTGCCCGTAAAGCTCCAAAACACCCGGGGCGATTTTCCATGCACACTCACCACTGAGATCGATGCGACACCGCTGTGCCTCCCCACCCCCGACAGTAACCCCTGGGAGGCACAGGCCACAGCTTCTGCCTTCTCTTCTTCCCTCTCACTCTGAACTCTTTCCTCTTGGCCTGCCCCTCCACGCACCCCTGTCCCTCCTCTCCACCCCCCTTCCGTAGGTCCCGTAGCTGTCCTTACCTTGGGCGGGGCCTCGTTATCTGGCCGGACCCAGGCTGGGGGGTTTGGGCTGGGGCCAGGCCCTTCAGACGTGGGATCTGAATTCTGGCGGATGACCGCTCCTCGGGCACTGGGCGTAGCAGTGGGCGTGGGGATGGCAGGGTCAGGGTCGTGGGAGGCTGGGAAGGCAGCCAGGTTTCGGGTGGGCTGGTCCTGCAGGGACTGGGATCGGGGTACAGGTGCTGCATATGGCTTCAGTGGGACCCGGTGTGCCACCAGGCTCTGCAGGGAGAGATCAGGGAGGGTGGGCTGCCTGATCTGTAATGCATCCCCGCCTACAAGCTGGGGTCTGGGCTTCCAAGTGGCATTACTTGCCCCTTCCTGCATCGAGAAACAGAGGTTCCTGGCGTCCAGGAATAAGTGAGAAGCAGGCGTAACACATACAAAGCAGCAGCTAACATCTGCCCACGCAACCTGTGCCTTGCGATCCTGGCTAAGACTCGAGCGGATGTGTGCAGGTATGTGGGTGTGTGCGGCTTGCTCTGAGCAAGCTCCTCTGTCTGTGTGCTGAGACAGGATCAGGGAGACTCACCTTGTGTGGTCCCTCCTGGGGCTCCACCGGCCTCTGCATAGGAGGAGTCTGGGAAAGAGGGCCTGGGGGGCCTGGGGAGGCCTGAGGGACGGCAGGCTCCGGGCCTGTGCCGCCTGGCTTCGTCTTGGCCAGGGGAGAGCTCTGCTGCTTGTTCATCCTTGTTCTCTCTTCCACCTGTGACCAAGGGCACATCGAGCAGATCACCTCTTGCCTCCCTGGTCCGAAAACTCAGGTGCCCACTTGCCCCAACTGCTCCAGCCCCTTCCTGTTCTCAGTGCTTCTGGAACTCTCCAGGCCTCAGGCGGTGGACGGGTAGGGTGGATGCTTGGGAGGCGGTGGTACCTCTCGGGCCCAGGCTGGCTTGTCAGCGGGATTAATGCCCCGACCATAGTGATACAGAGGCTTTCTGTCCCCAGGTAGGATTTGCTGCTGCTGCTGCTGCTGCTGTTGCTGCTGCTGCTGCTGCTGCAGGGACTTGAGGTAGGCGTGCTCCTGCTGCAGCTGCCTTTGGAGACGCTCTGACTGCCGCTGCTCCTCCAGCTGCTTCCGCTTGTATTCCTGGGCCCAAGGTAGGAGGAGAGGGCTTCGCAAGGGGTGGCCATGGAAGTCAGAGCAGGCGGGCCCTGTCTTTCTTCCATCTGCCTAGAGGAGCTGCTTTCCCGTGACGTCTGGGTGAGTCCCTTCCCTTGTAGTATCCCCATCCCAGTCCAGCGAAACAGCTCTGGACAGCATCTTCCCAAGGGTGCCGCGGGACCCCGTTACCAGCAGTAGGGCCTGTTCCTGGAGCAGCTGTTGCTGAAGGATCTCGAGCTGTCGCTGCTCTTCCTCTAGCCTGTGACGGATATATTCCTGGGGGGTGGGGCGGGGCGGGGCACAGGGCAGGGAGAGGGGGAGGCGGCAGAGGAGGGGCAGCAGCGGCCGCGCGGGTCGGCAGGGTGAGGATGAGGGTGTGCAGGAGAAGATGAGCCCCAGAGGGTCGCATGGCACAGATGGGACAACAGGCGCAGGGCATGAGAAGGGAGCAGGGGGGACCACGAGGGAGGAGCAGTGGCGAGGCATCGGGAATGGGCAGAGATGGGGATGAAGGCAGAGACCGGAGGGGGCAGGGAGCCAGGGTGGGGTTGAAGGGTGGGAGAAAACAGAAAGAGTGAAGCTAGAAAAGATAGGAGGAATCTCGGGTGGGGAGCGAGGTTAGGGCACCGGGAGCAGGGGCGCAGGGCGCAGGCAGCAGGAGCAGGGAGAGGGAAGGCCGGGAGGACGCAGAGGGAGGGCAGGTGGGCGGGCAGGCGTGTGCCAGGCCAGTACCTGCTCCCGCTCCGCCTGCCGCCGCTCCTCCTCCCGCCTCAGGGCCTGAATGTCCTCCAGCCGCCGCTGCTGCTCCTGCTCCTGCAGCTTCCGCTGCTCGCGCTCTCGACGCTGTTGCTGTGGGCAAAGGGGAGGTGATGCTAAGGTCTGCCAGAGATCGCGGCATGGGAGGTCTTCAGTGTGTCTCCACCAGGACACCTCGCCTCGGACCAGAGCCCGCTGGGCCTGCCCGGGGAAGCAGCTGACGGTGGCTGTGGGAGGGGGCGAGATGCCGGGGGCTCAGTGCTGCCCTCGGGGTTGGATGACAGCTTCCTCTGCCCACTGCGCCACCAGACAAGAAACAAAATCAAGAATCAAGGAAACTCCCCCACCTGCCATGCCTGGCCTCATATTCCCGTCTCTATCCAAAAATGGTAGGTGCTAGGGAGCCTTTGGCCACCAGAGGGCATCAGGGGCCGTGCGCGGGAAAGCACACCGTGTGGATTTAAGGACCTGTCCTGACAAATCCTGAGTGCAAACCGCACTTATCTCCATCATCTTCCTAACCAACAGCCGTGAAAAGCCAGCTCCCTCAGCCCTGGCGGCGGCACACTTGAAGGGATCTGTGTGTATCCCTTCCAGGAGACACCTGGTTAGCCAGATTTTGTTACTCTTCACCTAACACTGTATGGTATTTACTAAAAGAAAACTAGAACACTCTTCTGCAGCAGACTTTCTTATTGTTCAACAAAGGGGCCTGCTTGAGGGAGTAGACGGTAAGGATGTCGCCACCTGCTCTCTCCTTTACACAAATTTTTGTTAAATCTGCCTGTTAACATTTGCAATAAAGTAACGCAATCATTTAAAGCATTTTAAAATCCAGCTAAAGGCAGGCACGGTGGTGCTTGCCTGTAGTCTCAAGTTACTTGAGAGGATGAAGCTGCAGCATCAGTTTAGCCCACAAATTTGAGGCCAGCCTAGGCAAAAAGCAATACCCACTCCAAAAAAAAAAAACCAACATAAGCGGGCCACGGTGATATGCTGAGGCAGAAGAGTCTCAAGTCTCAGGCCAGCCTGGACTACAAAGTGTAAATGTATTTAAAAAACAAAAAAACACAAAAAATACTGATTGGTATACTCTTTCCCCACCATATACCTCTGCAAACTGTAAGTAATCTTTAAAAAAAAGTAAAACTAAATATATGCTTATGTACACATATATTTTAACTGATACCAGAATGCATTAATTAAAATGAATTTTCCACATAGCTCTAATTGGCAAACTAATAAGATTGCGCTTTATTAAAAAAAAAAAAAAAACTATGTCAAAATAAGCGGAGCAGCCTGATGTGACGGCACATGCTCCGATTTCAGCTACGAGGAGCTGGAGCCAGAGGGCGACAAGGTGAAGGCCAGCCTGGGCAACGCAGCCAGACTGCCTCAAAAGTTAAAAAAGAAGGAAAGAACAGAAAAGAAAAAGGGTTAGACACACAGCTAACCGTTCCCTGGGCTCCGTCCCCACCATCACAGAAACAAAACAAAACATTCCCGAGCACAAGCAGGACCTTCAAAGGGCATCTTTCATGTTCCCAGCGCATCCCTGCACCCTGTGCAGCTGCACCTGACCGTCCGTACACAGACGCCCGGCTGACCCTGAAGAAACCTGGAGCTACAGCCCCTGGGGCGGAGGGCACAGCAGAAACCTGGAGCTACGGCCCCTGGGGCGGAGGGGCACAGCAGAGACCTGGAGCTACGGCCCCTGGGGCGGAGGGGCACAGCAGAGACCTGGAGCTACGGCCCCTGGGGCAGAGGGGCACAGCAGAAGCAGCTCCCGGCTCTGCTCCGAAGCAATGCACGTCTACCCTGGGCGGGAGGGGACCGCCAGGGCCGGAGGGCCGAGCCTCCAACGGCAGCAGGTCTTAGGAGGGCTGGGCGGGCGGGACAGGTGCGGCCACCCCACCTCCTCCACGCGCCGCCGCTCCTCCTTCTGCTCCTCTATCCGCCGCTGCCGCTGGTGCAGCAGGTGTTTGATGTGCGCCTCGGGGTCCCGCTGCTGCTGCAGCTGCTGCTGCTGCTGCTGCTGCTTCAATGCCTCGGAGTTGCTCTTATTCTCCTGCTGGAGCCGGAGGAACTCCCGGCGGAGCGTGGACTCCCCAGGCACATTCATGATGGAGCTGGCCGGGGTGGCACAGAGGGGCACTGGGTCAGGGATGTGTAGGAACCTGCTGGCTTCCCTGCACACCTTGCTTCTTAGCCTTTGCACTTTTTTTTTTTTTTGGTACTGGGGATCAAACTCACGATCTCGCGCTCACCACGCAGGACCAGGTGCTCCTACTGCTGCCCTAAATCTAAATCCCTGGCCCTCTTTCTCACTTCTTTTGAGGAATTAGGTGAGCAAGGCCTCTCTCTCTGTACCACCACTTCACCCCAAGGACTTCTTAGGAGCCCCGCGGGCCGGCCCAGCCTCCCTTCCGCCTGCAGCCCACCTTGGCTCTCCTTCCTCTCCGTGGCTGTCGTCTTCCTCCTCACTGCCGCTGTACTCGTACTCCGTCTCCTCTGCAGGGGACATCACCACTGTTTCCTCCCCAGGGCCCAGACCCCGCCCTGGGCTCGGGAGGCCGTGGACAGCGACAACCACGAGGGCTGTCTGCACGACTGAGTTCTGCTGCCCCCGGCCTCGGTGGGTCAGTGGGAAGACAGGGGATCTCAGGCCCGGGCCTCGGCAGAGGTGGGACTGGACCCCTTAGGAGGCAGGGCAGGCACATGTGCACGTGCACTGACACACGCGTGTGCTCAGCACAGGGTTTCTCACGGGACATAAAAGGGCCACCCTCATCTGGGAAGCCGACTCAGACTGGGGTGAAAACTCCTCAGGGCCAGACGTTGGGGAAAAGACAGCTCTTCTGACAGGGAGAGCTGGTGGGAACGTGAAGGGAGACAGCACAGAGCGTCGGGCGGGCGCTCTCCCACCCACCGCCCCCCGGCCTACCCACCTTTCTCGCCCCGCTTCTTCCGGGACCGGTCAATGTGGTCCTTGAGCTGGATGCGGACCTGCCGCTCCGTGGGCTGGTCTCGGATGAAGGGGAACTTCAGCAGCTGCTCGGTGGGCGGGCGGCTCAGGTAAGCCTTGATGAGACACGTGTCAATGAAGTCGATGAACTTCTTAGACCTGGAAACAGTGGGGCTCACTCTGGTAGGGTCCCCCTTGGAAAGGAGAGGGGTCACCAGAGGAAGAGGGCAGACCAGACTCCCAAAGCCAGCTAGGCTGCCCTCTTGGCTTTCCGGTATCCTAACCCGGTAGCCACCTGCTGCCCCATCCAAGCCAGAACACAGAAGGGGCTGGTGTGGGGGTGCCTTGCCCAGAGACCTTCCTTCCAAACCCGAAGGCCTACCATTTCTTGGACTTGAGCCGGGGTGGAGGGTTCCGAGGAATGAGGAAGAGGGCTCGCATGGGGTGCATGTCACACAGAGCTGGGACAGAGGAGACCGTCAGTCCCTTTCATCAAGGAACTCTCCCCAGGATGGCCTCCCAGAATGACCTCCCACAGCCACTCTCTCCATCCTGCCAGGGCAGACTCGGCACTTACGGGGCGCTCCCTCTGCCATCTCGATGGCCGTGATCCCTAAAGACCAGATGTCACTCTAAGGAGGGGAAGGGAGAAAGGACAGGTGAGTGTTTCCGACCGTTCTGCCCATAACCTCTTTCCTGCCCCCTCCCTGGCTCCTCAGGCCTCAGCCGCTCCTACGACCTTCCCTCCCCATCACCGCACCTTCCCACCCAACTCTCCCATCATAAAAGGGCTCTCAGCCCTCATAGTGACACTTCACCGCCACATCCTCATTCTGTCCCCGCCTCTTCATCAGCCGACTGGCCCCTACTGGCCACCCCTCTCATGTCCTGCCCCTGCGTACCCTATAATCATAGGTGGCGTCAGGGTTCTCATCACAGGCGATGACCTCTGGGGCCATCCAGTACGGGGTCCCAATGAAAGTGTTTCTTCTGCCCACAGTGCGGTCCAGCTGAGCACTCACCCCAAAATCCACTGTAGACATGGGAAAGGGGTGAGCACGAGTCCCTTTTGTTCCTTACCTCACTTCCTTACGTGCCTGTGTGCCTCGCGTGAGACGGCTGAGGTCCTGTCCTTACCGAGACACCCTTAGCACCCACCAACACCCTGAAACCCTGACTCAGCCTTTCTGCCTTCTGGGGACCCAGAGACAGCATCCCAACCAGCAGGACCACGGGCCATCTCCCTCCAAGGGAGGCCAGCGCCTAGAGCCTCCAGGTGGCAGCCAAGGGGCTCCTGCAGGACTTCTCAGGGGCAGGAGTGGAGGAGAGGGCGCAGGCCTAGCCAGCACCCGGCAGCGGGACAGTCACAGAAGCGACACGGTCCCCTCGTCCTGCCCCAGGGGTGCCCCTGGAGCCAGCGCACCTAGCTTGACCTCCGCGTTCTCTGTCAGCAGCACGTTCTGCCCTTTGATGTCTCGATGGATCACCTTATGGGCATGGAGATGGGCCAGCCCCTGGGATGGCAAGGGGAGGACAGAGTCAGCCGTGGTGGTGGACAGGGTGGAAGAAGTGAGGGGGGAGGCTGAGGCCGGCTGAAGGTGCAGACACCCCGACCTAGGCCCAAGTGCGCCCTGGGGTTAGCGTCCTTACAGCAGCAGCTCCCAAAAAGGCCCGAGGCTAAATTCGAAGGGAAGACGTACTGGAGCTTGGCGAGGGGACTTGTCTCCCCACAGCCAGAGGCTCTGCGGCCAGGAGCAGCTCGGGGAGGGCAGGCGGGGCCGAGCTCACCCTGAGGATCTCCCTGCAGATGTAGGCGATGCAGTCCTCCTTCAGGGCGTTCCCTTTTGTGTTCTTCACCAGGTCAGTCACGGAACCAGCACCACAGAACTCCATCACCAGCTGTGGTCCCCAGAAGGCAATGTAAGGGAAAACACTGGTGAGGCAAGACTTCCCACTCACTGCCAGATGCCTAGAGGAAAGCGCCGTGTGGCAGCGCGCGCCTGTAATCCCACCCTCGGGAGGCTGAGGCAGGAGGATCCACAGGAGGATCGCTGCCAGTTCAACGAGGCCAGCTGGGCTACCAGGTGAGCTCAAGGCCAGCCTTTGAGACCCTGTCCTGGAGACAAAAACAAACAGGCTGGGGGTTTAGCTCAACGGGTTTAGCTGCCCGGCAGGCGCCAGGTCAGGAGTCCGACCCTGGTACAAAAACAAAAACAAATAAACAAACAAAATGAAACAGATGCCTAGAGAGCCAGGCCTTGGCGCTGGAGAGCAGGAGCTCCATGACCCCAGGACTTCCTGCACCAGGAGAGAAGGAAATGAGCACAGCTGGAAAGGAGCTGCCAAGGCGGGGCCGGGTCCCGAGGAAGTCAGAGGAGCCCTGCAATCTCCAGCTCGACAGTGTAGGCGTGCATCTTCCTTGGGGAAGAGTCCAGGCTTCTGTCGAAGTTTCACTGGGACCCCAAACTCCAAAATGGCTAAGAACCATTGCTCTGCAAACTACATGGCCGGGTCAAGACCTGTTTTTGTATGTCCTTCAGCTAAGAGTGGTTTTCAGAATTTTTCATTGTTGGGGGAGAATAATGACACATGAAGATGGTATGACATTAAAATTTTAGAGACTAAAATATGTACTGTCTTGCCTTTCACAGCAGCCTTGACTGCAAGGCAGGAAAGGGAGAATCAGTGCTTCTCCGGGTCTGCTGGGTTAGCCCAGAGGTCTGCCGAAGAGAATCCAGGAAGCGTTCCTGTCCAAGTGTTTTCACTGAAAGCCACATTCCATTCAGGGGAAGACTGGATGGGATGCACACATTTGCTATGCAGTCAGAATAACTAGCATGTACCCCAGTCTAAGGCAGCCTGTGGGCCAGCAGTACAGTAGCAGGAAATGGTTGTCAACAGTCCCGAGGAGGGCACCTGGCCACCAGGGCATAACCACCAGTCTTCGGGGCTCCCTGGCATGTGTGTATCTCCCAGGTAAACCTACCAGTTCCTGCTTTCTGTGTATGTGTGTGTTCATCCCCAGAAACCCGTGGTTCACTTCACCTGTGCAGGTGTACAGGAGGGGTTTACTAAGTCCTCGTCTGCCCGAGTGCTAACAGCGAGACCTGGCATGAGCTCCAAATCTCCCAGCAGCCCCCGCACAGCTCCTGGTTGCTCTCGCCTCAGTGTTAGGCTCAGCAACGCAAAGGGTGAGGCTGGGGGAATCTGCAGTGCCCAGCTGGGGGAGGGGAGCGAGTCCCAGGAGTGTTCTGGGCCAGGAGGAACACGGGTGGCCTCTGGTTTAAACATTCGTCCAGGCTCTGTTCCTGTAAGGGGCCTGGGGTGACCTGTGGCAATGGTTTGCTACCCTCCTGACCCAGAAAACCTCACACAATCATGCAAATCAAGTGGCTTAAATATTTGTGCTCTAAGAACTCCCGTGACACTGCCCAGGCCATCAAGGGTATGCATATCTGAAAGGCCATCTAATACCCGAAAGATGCCACATTAAAGAAGCAATGTGTGCCATTCCGGTGTTACATGGTGGAGCTGGTAGACGTGCCCAGGCCAAAAATGTGGGGCTGGATACAGAGGGGGTGGCCAAAGAAAAGTGCTAATTTGTGCTGCACATGCTTAAAAATGCAGAGTAGCACTGAACTGAAGGTCTAGAGGTCCACTATGCGGTCACTGAGCACATCCAGGTGACCAAAGCAGCCAGGATGACCGCCATACTTACGGAGCTCAGGGCCAGACTGACCTATATGTGAGCCCCCCTGCCACAGCGAGAGGATCCTTACTGAAAAGGAACAACTGTTCCTAAATCAGAGGAGGAAGAAGCTGCAAAGAAGAAAAAGACAGTCCAGAAGAAACTGAAGGAACAAAAGCTTATGGCAGGAGGCAGGGGACGGATGGACTTATGGAACATGAATAAATTACGCATAAAATAAATGCAAATAGAAGTGATTTATCACTCAGAAGGTCTCGCACTGACAGAGCAGTCCTGTCCTTTGCCACGCGTATGTTGATCCTGTACCTCTCTAGGCACTGTGCTCAGAGGCAGGAGAACTGATGGACAAAGCTCTCTATGATGCCTTCCAGCCCCCCCAGTCCTCCACTCTCCACTATCTACTAAGTGTACATCAGATGAGGTGGGGTGGACACCAGGACCCCTTGTCACCAAACTCACGAGAGGTCAGAGGCCTCAATGTGTGCACAGGATGGAGACCCTTCGGGGTCCAGACAGGGAGGCTGTGTACACTGCGGGGAGCGGGCGGGAAGAGCTCCTGGGCAGTAACCCCAGGCTCCGCATCAGCAGCGGGGGGCGGGAGGGCGGCCAGGAGTGGCTTCTCACCCAGAGCTGGTCATCGTTCCCGGGGGGACTCTTCTTGATGAAGGCCCCATAGTAGGTGGCAATGTTGCGGTGGTGAGAATACTTTTTCAGCATGTTGATCTCCTGCTTGATCTCTTCCTCCTCGTCCTAGGTGAGGGGCAAGAGATAAGCCCCCAGACCCACAGCCCTTTCCTGAGGCCCAGCCCTCCCTGTCCTGGGCCCAGCTCCTTACCTCCGTGACATCCATGACCTTGATGGCAGCCAGCTGCCCGGTCTTGACATGCCGCCCCTGAGGACAGAGAGCCTAGTGTGAGGGGACCTGGGTCTCCGCCCAGGGAGCAGATGCTGGAGAAGGCTCCTGAGGGAGGATCCTGAGGGAGGCCGCATCTGTCAACTGTTTTGTCGCTGGCCTCAACCTTGCAGTGACCCTCCAGATTCAGCCTTCAGAGTGCTGGCATTACAGGTGTGCACCACCACGCCCAGCCATCCAGCCATTTTCTACACAGTTCTCTTCACTTGTTGGTCATAGGAGTTGACAGAGGAAAAAAACACCAAATCATTGTGGCTAGAAGAAAAATTACGTAGCCTGCACTTCCAAGCTGTAGAAACGAAGCTCAACAACAAGGAGGAGTCTCCTGTTAAACATCCAGGGGACAGCCAGGCAGGGAGGTGCACCCCTGGGGCCCCACCACTCAGGAGGCTGAGGCAGGAGGGTCACCATGACTTGGAGGACAGCCTGGGCTCACAATCTGAGCTGACGGCCAGCCTGAACTGCACGGCAAGACCCTGTCTCAAAACATAAAAAAATTTTAAAAATTATAAAAAAGAAAGAAAAAAGAAATGAAGGGACACAGGTGGTGCATACTAATGTTCTCTCCTAGCCTCCCCGGTGGGGAATGAAAGGCAGTTCTTTGCCAGGGCTTTAGCTCAGCAGCACAAGCACCTGCCCAGCAAGTGCGAGGTTATGAGTTCAATCCCGGGTACAAAAAAAAAACAAAAAACAAAAACAGTTCTCCACCCTGAAGAGGTACCAGGGAGGAAGGGCTTCACTCATGCAGAATGAAATGCACTTTCTTGGCCCATCCACTCTAGGCATGGAAGCCTCTCCCAGGATCAACCCTACCCCCAAGGCTTTGCACTGTCAACAGGTAAAGAACAGAGACACGGGGCTGGGGATTTAGCTCAGCGGCATAAGCACCTGCCTTGTAAGCAGGCAGTCGTGAGTTCAATCCCCAGTACCGATAAAAATGAAAAAGACAAAAAAAAAAAAAAAAAAAAAAGAACAGAGACACAACTGAAATCTTAGGGAACTTGGGGAAACGCCGCAGGGGCCAGCCCACAGTGGCCAGGTGCCAATGCCCATCACCAGACTCGGTGGGAGGAAGCTTCCCCTTCTTTTTTCTCCTTTCTCTTTTTGTTTGTATTTTTGAAACTGGGTCTTGCCATGTGGTTCAGAGGCTGGCTTTGGACTTGTGGCATTCCTCCTGCCTCGGCCTTCCCAGTGCTGGGGTGACAGGCGTGCACCATCAGACCTCACTCATGAAACTCCTTCCCCTTCTTTAACTTGCCCGAGGCCTTCCCTATTCTCCCCCACCATCCTTCTGAAATCCCTAGCGGGACCCATCGCAGGCTTGCGCAGGAAAGTCCAAGGCTCCCTGGGAAGCGCAGGGTGGGAGAAGGCAGCCCTCACACCATGGACACGGGCAGCGCCCAGCCCTCCACAGCCACTCAAGACCCCAAGCCTAGGCAGCTTTGGTGGCACGAATACTAAAACACAGAAAAAAGAAAAAAGCAGGAGCCCTGAGTTCTGGCTCTAGGTCTGCTGCTCTGTAGACAGCTGCACGAGGCTAAGGCCTCCCCTCTGCAGAAGGCCACCTGTAAAGGCCATCAGTCCTACGTCGCGGGAGGAACCCACTCCATACTCAGGCCTGAACCCGAAGTTCTCAGCCCGGCTCTGACAGCCACATCCCGTAACTTGCTATGGCCCAGAGGCTCTGCCCACTTCCTGTCCCACAGCCACCGAGGTCGGCCTGTTCCTGCCTCACCCAGATTAGCTCCACACCAGAACGCTTTTTTTCTGAGACAGGGCCTTGGGTTCACCATGTGGCCCAGGCAGCCTCGAATTCGTGACGAACCTGCTGTCTCAGCCTCCAAAGTCCTGGCACCATAGGCGGGCGACACTAGGGCGGCAGCCAGCCGGTTCTGCCTCCCAGCCATCCTCTGCCCTCTCCTCTCAGCTCTTCTCCCGGCTCCATGGTTCTGAGGGGAGGCCTGGGCCGTAGGCGTGCTAAGCGAGTGTCCTACCGCGGAGACTCACCCTCTTTCCCCGGGGACTTGCGTCTCTGCACCCCTCGCAGGCCCTCAAATCTCCAGACCTGGCTGGAACCTGCCTCTTCCCACTGCCCCCGGAGGGCACCGCAGCCGTGGAGGTCCCACTTGTGGGGCATCAGCTCCTCACCTTGTACACCTGTCCGTAGGTTCCATTGCCAACCACCTCCACCAGCTCAAAGATCCCGGCGGGGTCCTGGGGAAAAAGCGCCAAGCGTCAGCACTTTAGGAAGGGCTGTGGCATGGAAGGGGCAGCAGTGCGTGTGAAGGGACAGGGAGGGAGAGGGTGTCACAGGGTCCAAGGAGGCCTCCGACGGACGGACCGGATGGCCAGCACCTTCCCTGCGGGTGGCTCAGAGTTAACTCTCTAGGGGAAGAGTCGGGGCAGGACGTGGACGTCAGGCCCCGATGGCTTTCAAAAGTGTGCTGCCTACTTCAAAACCGGGCTGAGCCCTCCCCTGAAAGTGAGGGTGTGTGAGGACCCAGCCCCGGGTCTGGAACACACTGCAAGTGAGGCGGCACCCCAAAACGCCAAGACGGAGCCTAGCAAAGTGCGTGTCCTCAGTGAGGTGGGTATCGTCGTTACCGTTATTTATGTTTATTTATTTATTTATTTTGGTGCTGGCAGTCAAACTCAAGACTGTGCACTTGCCAGGGGAGTGTTTATGCCACTTATTTTAAAGAGAAAAAACAAAAACAAAATTTCAAAACAATAGGAGAGTAACAATAGTCAACACATTGTATATTGTTATCTTTAAATTATAGGACACGATAAGACTGTAGAAACTGTCCAAACATCATTAGCACAATCCTCTCTTTTCAGTGTACTAAGAGAAATCAGCAATGTAACTGTCTTAACTATCTTGTGTGTGTATGTGCGTATATATATGTGTGTATATATATATATATATATATTTTTTTTTTTTTTTTTTTTTTCCCTTCCCCTCATTTCCCCATCCCCGTTTCTCCTTTTGGGCAGTCTCTTCCCACTTTACAATACCTATTATACATTTTGGATGTTATTTACTCTTTCAGCTTCTCATACTAGGAAAGCAATGCGATGTTTACACATGTGAGCCTGGTTTTACCGTCTTATTTTAGAGGAAAGGAGGGATAAAGTTAAGAGGGCAGAGAGGGGCCGGGGGTGCCCCTCTCCTTGGGCCCTTTTCTCCCCTCTAGTTTTCCTGGCACAGGGGCTCCGGGGTCACAACTGAGGCGTCCAGGGGCAGGTGAAGCGACTTCCAGGTTAGAGGAGAGCAGGCAGCAGCAGAGGGGCTTCCGGGGCAGGCCGGCGGGCAGGAAGAGCTCCCTGTGCCTCCTGTGCCCAGGCAAGCCGCGCAGGAGGAGACGGACCGGGAAGCACACGCCTCCGGACAGGCCTCCTCCCGCCAGGCCTGTGCGTGCTGCCCCTGCCACAGCAGCACAGCAGCCCAGCAGCCATCCGCTCCCAAGACCGTCTACACCCTCCCAGCAGGCTGTTTTTGTTTTTGCGAGGAGGAGAGGAGCTGGGAACTGGGGAAACAGGCCCAGCACTGTCCGTGCTCCAGGCTCCTCCAGGCCGCTCAGGGACCCAGCACGAGGCAGAGCGTGAGCCCGAATCTGGGAAAAGCTTCCCAGGCAGTACCGGGCCTCTGTGTTCGTCATTCTAACGGTATGCAACGTACAACTCTCCCCCAGTTTTGAAAACCAATTATGAGACTTCTGAGAGTACACACATAAAACCCACAAACAAGCCTACACACACCCAGTCCTGCGGGAACAAGCGGACGTAACAGGACAGGTGTGAGCACGGTGCAGACCGGAGGCAGCCTGCCCAGGTCCTCACACCTGCAGGGAAGTACTCTACCCGGAGCCCCAGCCCCAGCCCTCCCTCGGCCTCCGCACAGCTGGGATTAGCAGATGTGTGTCTTGGTGCCCAGCTGAGGCTCTTTTTTTTTTTTTTTAACTTTTTTTTAACTTTTAACTTTTTATCGGTACCAGGGATCGAACTCAGGACCACCTGCTTGCAAGGCAGGTGCTTATGCCGCTGAGCTAAATCCCCAGCTCCCCTAGCTGAGGCTCTTAAGAGCCTCCTAGCTGTAGCTCCTCTGTCCTTCCTCTCCGAGGAGAAGTTCAGGGCAGGCCCGTGGCTCCCTGAGCCGGCCACAGCACAGCATGTGTGACGATGAATCATGACCACGCCAGCCGCTTGCCCAGACCTGGCTCTCAGCAGCTCAACCTGCCCCAGAATCAGAGTCCCCTGCACACTTTTATGGGGCCTAGGCTGACCAGACCAAGAACTCCACGGTCGATATTCAATTATTCATCCTAGCTGAAGTTAACTAGACAATCCTTAGTAAATGCTAGGTGTGGTGGCACACTCTGGGAGGCTGAGGTAGAAGGGTCACACGTTCAGTTAGAGCCTGGGCAACTCAGCAACTTGGTGAGACCATGTCTCAAGATAAATAAGGGCTGGGAATGTAGCTCAGTGTGAAAGCCCTGGGTTAAATCCCCAGTACTGCAATAACAACTTTATTAGACCTACGAAGTCATTAGCGTTCACCTGAAAGGAAGGCACTGTCATTGTGGAATGTCATAGGGTGAATGAAACATTTGTCTCGATCTGAGAGCTGCAAAAGACCTAGAGGAAGTCCTATCACTTGCTTTCTAGACTGAGAGGCTGGAAGAGGACACAGTTCCTTCAAGGTCTCAGAAAGGGGTTCATCTGTTCTGCAACCTTGTTGCACTCACTGTTGTGAAGTTTTTGAGACAGGGTCTTGCAATGCAGTTCAGACCAGCCTTGAACTCACTATGTGGCCCTGGCTGACCTTGAACTCACAGGGACCCTCCTGCCTCAGCCTCCCGCGTGCTGGGATCACAGGCGTGCTCTGCCATGCCTGGATGCGGAATCCTTGCTTGAATCCAATTTTAGTTCTGTGCTGGAGGGAGGCAAGGCCTTAAGGGTAGTGATTTTAATTCTGTAACCCTAACTCCCAATCTGTCCCCTTCTCTGTTTGGGAGACACTAAGGCAGGAAATACCCTGAGGTCAGAGATGCTGACACTTACTAGGTTTCCAGCCTGCTTCCTGACCCTGCTTTCTTGAGAGGTGATTCAGAGACTCCGCTGAGATCACACAGGCACTGGTCACGGTGCCTTGGACTCACTACAGCCGCTCCTCAGGGGCTCTGCTTCTCCCCAGCAGCACGCTGCCCACCAAGCCCAGCCTCAGGCTGGGGATGTGGCTCGGGGCACAGTGCCTGCCTGGCAAGCAAACAGTCCTGAGTTTGAATTTCAGTATCAAAAAACAAAACAGAACAAAACAAAACTGCATGTGGTGGAGCATGCCTGTAACCCCAGCACTCAGGAGGCTCAGGCAGGAGATGGCTGGGCCACAAAGTGAGCTCAAGTCCACCTAAACTGCATAGTGAGAGAAGTGTATAGTGAGACCCTGTCTCAAGAAGAAGAAGAAAACAGGCCGAGGAGCCCAGCCTCGGCGCCACGCCTGTAGCTCCCCTCTTCCCGCTGCACCAGTCCCCCCGCCCCTTCTCCTTTCCAGCGTCCCGGCCTCCTCTCAGCTCCTACAGATGCCAACGCGGCCCCATCCTCCTGTGCTCCCCCAGAGCACCTGCCTTCTTGCATCTCCTCCACGATGCTATCCTCCTAGCACACGCGCTCCTAACTTTGCTCTTTTGCCCCTAAACCCACAAGCCCCCCACTCCTGGGAGAGGGCGGAACACCTCAGCCCTGGATTTATAGATGCTCTTTCATTAATCAGCTAAGAAATATTCTGAATGTGCACAGTTAGGCTCTTATCTGGAAAAAGTGTAATGTGACCTTAATGTCATGCCTGAGAAACAAGATAGGCCAAATATTCAAATATGGACATCAGCCAGGTTTGATGGTGCACAGCTCTCATCCCAGCACTCAGGAGGCTGAGGCAGGAAGACTGCCAGGAGTTCAGGCCAGTCTGGGATACATGGTCAGTTTAAGGCCAACCTGCAACCTGAACTACATACTGAGGCCTTGTCTCAAAACAATCCATGCCCCAAAACCACATAGGGACACGCACCAGTGTATGACTGTGTGTCCTACAGACACTGTGAAAATGAGAAGCACCAGCGCTGCTTGGCATGGTAGAAGACCACTGGGGAGCGGATCTCCAGTGAGAATTTGGATACTAGCTGTGTCCCTGAGCGAGCATTTCATTGCTTGGGGCCTTGTTTCTTTCCTGCAAGTGGAGAGGAAGTTGGATCAGATGGACTCTGCTCTGCCAGGCTGGTAGCCCATTCCTACAATCCCAGCATTTTGGTGGGCTTAGGCAGGAGGACTGCAAACTGGAGCCTGTCTTGGGCAACAAACCAAGTCCCTGCCTCGAAAGTAAAAAACCCTAAAAAATGGGCAGAAGATTTAACTCACTGTGAAGGCCCTACATTCAGTTTCCAGAAGTGCAAAAGCAAAAGAAAAAAATCAGTTTTACGGCATCGGGGAAAGAATTCCACTCTAGTGGAGAATGTCCCCAGCCCCTAGAGGTGGTCCTGGAGAGATTTGAGGCTGGATGCGTTTCCAGCTGGGGACAGAAATGAAGAAGCGTGGAGCCTCAGAGACGGTCAAAAGGAAAAGGAAAGAGTGCGAAGGCCCTGCCTTGCTGAGGGTCGGCATCTTGGGTGTGGACCCCGAGTCTGAGAGGTGAGGAAGCCGGAGAGCACGGGTACCAGGTCCTTGAGAAACGGTCTGGAGACGAAGCAGCCGACAGACTCGTGCGAGCACAGCACACACCACCTGCAGACAGGGACGCAGCACTGGGCAGGCAGAACAGGAGAACCACAGGCGCCTCTGAGGAGCAGCTCCCTCGGGGAGGGCAGGGTGCCAACAGTCTCAAATCCTGCAGACCAGCAGGAAGGCGCTGGAAGAACCCTCCGGCTGGGCCCGAGGACCCACTGGGGCCTCCGTGGGAACTGCAGCTGTGAGCACGGAGGGCAGAGCAGGCCTGGAGACGAAGAGGAAGTGGGGACGCCAGGGTGCAGCACCCTCTCCAGAAAAGCCTAACTCTGAGAAGAAAGGGGAACTCGGATACGCCTGCGGGAGACAGCAAGGGTCAGCCGAGAGGGTTTTCTAAACTGGAAAGATGAGCTGGGCATGTGCTGCACACCTGGGACCCCAGCACTCGGGAGGCTGCGGCAGGAGGATCACAGTAAAATTCAAGGCCAGCCTGAACT